TATAATAAAGGCAAAAGTCTCGATCTAGGGCTAGAGGAGGAGCTTTTACACGTGTTTCAAAGACATTTAAATTATTATCCAATAGCTGATGTCTTTTTGAATGCTGGGGATAGAATGGTGTCCCACAAATTGAAATTTAACTATAATTAAATTTAATTAATTTAAATAAAATGTTATTGAGTAAAATTTATGATAATTTTGGCAGCAGGAGTTGTAACACTCCCTCGTGGGAGAAGTGAGCCAAGGGTCCGAACTGCGCCAGTAATTAGGCGAGTTTGAGAGGCTGTATATGCCAGAACAAGTCAGATTCGAGGCCTTGCGAGGGATAGCCTTGCTGAATAGCACGGGGATGATAGCCTCGATAGCGCAAGTCCTTTTTCAGAATGTTGCGGACAGTCCTTCTATTAATCCCCAGCTCCCTCGTCCTCATCGATTAGCATTTAGCAAAAAACATCCACATTCGACTGTATATCCACCACAAATTCCAATCGAAGTAAAAAAAGACCAGGTTGCGCTCTCCTATAGTAGTGATATAGAATTTAAAGAAATAAGGGGGAAACAGCATATATGATGGCAGCCAGATAACTAACCCTAAAAACATGCTGATATTTTGTATGTAAATGAGACATGTTGCAATTCAACAACCTAGAATTCGACCACAAAGACTATTAACATCGTTCGCATAATCACAAAAAATTATAGTGAAAGATATGAATGCCACACAGCCGAGTTGGGCAAAAGCGAGAAGAAATGTGGCAATCACAATAGCTCATGATAGATTTGGAGCACTAGTAAATAGTAAAATATCTAAATATGTGCTGAAATATTAAATAACAAGAAGGTATCTATGATAGAAAAGTCTAAAGTTACGTGAGTTTTATCATAGTATCCCAAATCGCATAAATTTGCGGGTTTTGAACATCATTCAATTTTGCCAAAAAAGAGAAGACCATACAAAAGGAAAACTAAATGAGAGTTATAATCAAATTTGTAATACTCCTTATAGTGATTTCACCTTTGACATTAAATAACTTGTAAACCTTTATCATTTATCAATTGTTGAATTAGACGCATTTAATTTCGTACATAGTTGTTAAGGCTTATGTTAATTTCAATTTTAATCATGAGAAACTCACAAATCACAATCAATTTTAACTCGACTGGTAATAATTATATCTCCGCCAACAGTAATAGTGATAGTAATAATAATAGTTAAACTAATAATAATAATGATATATCATTCTCATCAATGTGGATGAAACTGCCAGAAAAGAAATTTCATATTTAACCTTTTAAAGCTTCAATCAAAATACAAATTAAAAACAAGATCCATTGGCCACTTTTGCTTATGGTGCTGCGTAAGTTTGGATATTTTTATCAGAAAATGGATGTATGCATTCAAAAATGGTCGTACAGCAATTATGGATGGCCTAAGACCAGGACAACCCGTTGAAGTGCACAATATTGGGCCAAGAAGATAATTGAGGCTGACGGAAAGTTTCAATTGAAATTCAACTGAGGACCTCAACGTTCAGTTATTGCCATGCACACCATGATCAAAGAACAGCTTTGAATAAAAAGTTTGACTTTAAAGCATGTTCCCCATAACTTAAACGAGGAACAAAAAAGGCTCGAGTTGCCACTACCAATTGACTTTACACCTCTATAACAAATTTAAGAGTACTTTGATTGAAAGTATTCTGACTATGGATGAGACATGGGTGTATGCCTATGACCCTGACACAGCACAGGAATGAAAGGTCCGTGAGAAAGGGGAGGCGTCCAAAGTTCTCAGACAGAGTCCTCTTGGACAAGAGATCATGGAATAACATAAAATGGATGTATATTGCCATTGTACAGACGTGGTGATTACCTATATTATAACCTAATAATAAAATCAACAAATTCGAATGTACTTTTCCAGCGAAATTATTGAATAATTATTAATAATGTATTATATAATATTATTATTAATAATATAATTTCATGCATTTTTTAACCCAGCTATTAGACATGAAAACATGATTGCTATTGAACTTTTGCTATTCATCAAACCTAACCAACCGTCCATTGGAAAATAGATTAATATTACAGTGAATTCCGACTTATTTTGACAAAAAAATCAGCGCCATCTAGATGAAATCAGCTGGCAACTAAGAGATCGGAATATTTTGTTGTCGAATTTTTGATCTTTTTTATCGATGATAATTGTTTATTTGTGAGTTTTCACTCAAGAGAGGATGAAATAATCAGCCGCAAATAGAAAATCATTCGATAAGTTCTTTGATCATTGCAGCGAAATTCCAACTAAAAAACCGCAAGATGGCGCTGATTTTTTTGTCAAAATAAGTCGGAATTCACTGTATAAAGATTTGTTTTCAGACATTTGTTTTCTATCTATGCATTTTTTAATTAGCATCGATTTGCTAACATTGTGCGTTAAGATCTTTATGAGGATGCAAGAGGTGTTCCTCATGGTCAGTTTTATCGGAGCAGTTTACCTGATGATGTGATAAATGGTGACCATAGCTATTTTATAATGCAAACCCAGGATGCATTTTGCGAAGTAAATAGTGGCTTTACAACCAGAATCGACCCCACATTTATTCTTTGTCATCTACTTTGCTTCTTATTTGCATGTTAAGGCAAAGTACCTCCAAAAATTACCCGTTAAAAGGGCTGCCTTATATTTCCCTATTCATAAATGATAATAATTGCTCTCTTAAAAAAAGATTTATGCTTGCATTTTTCAATACTTTGTTGAGATTTTCTAAATTCGTGCTTTTTCATCTTCGATCTAATGATTACAAAAAAAATTTGGAACTAACGAGGGGTTTTTTGTAGGATTTCAATTGTTAAATAAGTTTTTACAATTATAATACTGTGAGGCATTTTAAGAAGAGAAGAAAGGAAGGAAGAAAAAGGGTTTTAATCGGCTATTTGTGGATTGTTGTTTGTATTATTTTTATTTTTGTTTTTCTCCTAGTTCCTTGTTCAGAAGAAACGACTATACATCATCAATTAACGCCTTCGTTATTGTTTTGTGTCCGTATCTCTAGACTGTTACCACAGATTTTAATATTAGAGCACTGGATAATGTTTTGACCTAATGTTGATAGCGAAGGGCTCGCAACTTTTCATTCAAAACATTTGCCCGAGGCAGCAATATAACGTTGGTAGCAGGGTATAAGCTGTTGCCTCCCCGCCTGGGGTACTCAGAAGCAAGATAGGCTTGAACTTTGGCATTTAGAGAATCTAAGCTTGCAAATCTCCGCCCCTTTACACAAGTTTTTGATGAGAAAGTCAGAGGGAGCCAGTGCAGAAGAAATTTTTCAGGTCTAAACATTCATGGAGAATGTATTGCATGGCGGGCTCAGATACATTAAACATTGTAGAAAGTTCTGCCAACGTTGACTTACGATTGTTTTTGATTTCGTCCATGCCACAAGGGCGAGGCTTTCATAGTCGATTTCCAGTGGTCTTCCAGTTGAAGGCCTATCCTCCATGTCTTTTCTAACAAATTTGCACTGATGGTACCAGTATTTTATAACGGACTCTGCAGGGCAATTACCTTAATACGTATTGACCATTTCCGCCTGAACCTGTTGAAGAGAGCAACTTTTATCATAAAGGATTTTAATCCAATACTGTTGTTCATTGGTAGCCATCGCAATTTTTGTCAAATAAATTGGTCAAAGACTGAATACTGAGTGCCCATGAGTTGTTCCCCGGGGTAAAAAGACCTGAGGAATCTCGCCATCTGCCGAAAATGAACGCAACTAGGTTAGGTTATCTAGTGCTCTAATAATTGGGTTACGATATGAAGCTTGCTTAGCTTGTATGCTTGTGATATTGGGGCGGACATAATTTCTTTTATTCTTCTCTTTTGTTTTCTTCTCCCAGTTGAACAAGTAAAGATCTTCAGCGTTTGATATATTTTTGATGGGTCCAAAGTCATATGTTTAGCACTGACTTCTATCTTGAAGCGTTTGTTATTGTATCTGATGCCATGTGCAATTTCATCTGGAGTGCTGCTTGTTCTGTTTGATTGTGAAAGGTTAACTAGGATCTTCAGTCGCTTGTGCACTAAAATGGTTCTTGAATAGAGTTTATGAAAGGTTTATTCAGAAAGAAGAGAGAAATGATGAACATGAACGGAGGGCGGAGGGCCGAAATATAGCTGCATCAATAGTTTATTACACTTTTTCCTTTAACTACCAACACTTTTTGACTAAAAGCGGTGAAAAGGGCATCTTACAGAGTTTTAACTGTTTTCAATCATTTTTTCAGGTCGGAAAACCTTGATAAATGTATGAAAAATAGAGTGAAAAATTTCGAGAACTTGCATGTTTTCGTGAAAATTGGTCTTTCGACCTCAGCGACCTTTGCGAATATAGTATAATAGCAAATACTCGGTGGTTCAGCGACTTTTTATATTTCAATTTACAAAAAGCTCTCATTTCATGTATCTACTGGTCCTCATTTCTTTCAAAATTAACTTAACATATCATAAGTTTCTAAGCTTGATCAAAGTATGGATTGTTTTAATTTCTGTTCAAAAATTTGTCATTCAACTTACCTTGGACTTTTATTTTAAGTCAACCTTTACTGTCTGAATAATTCAATCATGTGTATGTTCAATTTTGGTATCTATTGCATTATCGTCTAGGGATTTGCTGATTCGGTTAGTTCATATAATTTATAACCTGTGCCATAGCTCGTGCAGATTCAAATGAACTACAGCCAGTAAAGTTTGTCAGTAAATTTTTATTCAAATAAAGATTTGAGATTTGTTGAGCAAATGAAAGACGTACCATAAACACAATGTTATATCTACTGCTTACAGGAATGGAAAAATTATTGCAAATATTTTCAATAATCAACGGAAAATAAATGAAACTGAACTCGACTCTGTGCAAACGTCGAAGCATAACTAAGAAAAGGTAAGTGAATTATTTGGTTGGTTGAATTTTTTGAAATAAAAGGATTCGATGGTAGAGTACACTTTGTAATTTCCATGAATTTTGAATAAAACGAAAATTGAATTCAGATGAACTACATTCAAATATGATTATATTGGACTTCTAGAAAGCTGAAAGAGCTACAAGAAATCTCGCCTGAACAATGGTTTTATATTTTTCATCGATAAAAACGTTGATGCGAAGGCCATTAACTCATGAGTAGCTTTATGAGAACCGTTGGAATTGGGATTTACATTTAAAATATATTTTTCAAGCCATTTCTTCTGTTTAACGCAATAAACATAGCAGTTTCCATTCCATCTATCAATCAGAATTATTTTATCATCTTCTGTATGAAGAGAAGTTAGGATAGAGTCAAATACACTCAAATCCTTAGCACCTTTAAATAGTTCAATCTTATTGTATGAACGGGTTTCCATATTAAATTTGAAAAAATCATCATCCGATGTGAATACATAAACATCTTTGTCCAAAATAGTTGCCTGGAATTCATGATCGCAATCTTGCTCATATTTATTGAACCATCTCGAAGTAGTCGCTGGGAAAATACCAAAATATTCCTTTTCTCCTCCAGTTTCTCCGATGTATAAAAATCCATCGTTATATTCAACCAATAAATATGAATTATAAGGAATTTTATCCCCAATTGCAGTAGCTTTAGCATCCAAATAGCAGGAAAATTGACTGAGACATAAAATCAAAATAAAATTAAGGATGAGTCTAACTTAATATAATAATAAATTTCATTTATGTAATTTACTAAACAAAAAAGTCGAGTAAATTATTTTGAAAATTTAAAGCGGAAAAACAAATTGAATCTGATAATAAATTATAATGTGTCTGAAATTTTTGAGACTTTTCCATAGATCAGTTTATACACTTTAACGATGAGATAACCATACAGTTTAAATATTTAACACTTTCTTACATTTGAGGGTATTTGCAAACTTGTTGAAATTGTGGAGATTATAACAAACAGAAAAAATGGTACTCTGAAAGCTTCTCGAATAACAAAGGAAAAGGAAAACTTGAAGACTTGAGAATTTTCACAATGAAATAAAGCCTCGCGTAAGAAAGAGATTAAGGGTTGTATGGAATAAACGTACCCACGATAATCCTGGAAATTGACAATCAATTTATTAATTTTCTTGTAATAAGTTCCACCCCGGTATTCGTCAAGCCATCGAAATGTCTTTTTGTTCCAGTCAACTCGGATACATCTTCTTCCAGTATCAAATGAAATATCTGTAATGTGTTCTTCATGAACAAGTTCAAGTGACATTGTATCATCTTCAGTAAAATCTCCAATTGGTAAACAAAATAAATCTTTATCAAATATATTTATCCGCATCTTTGAATAAAGATCTGTTTCCTGAATTGAGACGAAGTAGTTTTGTTTAGTTCGATTGAATCGACAGTCACCATTAGAGGAAATAATTGAATCAAAATTTCTTAGAGCTTTTATCAATTCATTTTCCTTAACTTTTAGTAATTCACTAGAATCCATGAAAGACCAACGCACGAGTCTCAATAGCTTTGGAAGAAATTCTTTTCTTGAATCTGTATTCTTATTCACCCATTTCATGATTGATTGAAAAACTTGATACTCAGAGTAAATCATTAAATCTAATTTTAAAATATGTTCAACTGTTTCAACTGGATAATCTAAGAAAAGATTAGTGTTAGCGATCTTCAAAAAATGGCGACAAATGAAACAATCAATAGCTCCTGAAGTTATCAATTTGGAAGACTTTTTGACTTGAGTTAGGACAAGTGGAAGATATTTTATGTAAAATTATTGTGGAAATAATTAAGACATGGTTTAAACAAACGCTGACTTATCATCAAATAATCAGCTGCTCCATAAAAACTAATCACATAATCCATACGAATGATGAATAATTCTGTGTGAATCCAGTTAAGAAGAGCATCAAAGGCACGTTCATCAAAATCTAGAGTCACTTTGTTTTCCTTTGATTCCAATTCATCGCCAGAAAAAAAATTCTTAAAATAAGGCACAACTGAACAAATGAATGTTTTAGGGACATAATATTCTTGACTTCTATTCACAATTATCAGTTCTTCATCACAATTCTGATCCACTCAATCCATTTTAAAACAGTGAGCAAAATAAAATAACTAAAACACATAAAAATAGTCGATAGTGAAGTACTAAAAAAATTATTTTAAAAGTATAAAATTAGTCTTGGAGCGTGAGGTGTGTGTACCAGTGAGTTTAAAACAACAACTGCCCAACATGGGTCTGAATACACATGTTGTTACTGCTGACTAATAGTAAGGGCGGGACTTACATTTTCTTTTCCGTAATGTAACTAGAGCGAATGGAGAAATTCAACAATTTCATTTTTAATCACTATTTTTATCACAGCCAAAAGCATAAAAATTGAAAAATAATTCAACATAACTCAAAATGATAAATTGATTGCAGTTTCTGCAAATAATTCTTAAAAATTCTTAAAAAAGTTGGATGAATAAGGCACATGAAGGTCAAAGTGAACAAAACTTTTTTTATATAAAGGTTTGATATTTTTCATCTGTAAAAACGTTGAGGCGAAGGCAATCAGCTGATAAGAACAGTTATTGGAACTGTCGGAACAAAACTTTATATTCATCATTACATATCTTTCAATCCATTGCTGCTCATTAATACAGAAAATATGAATTTTTCCAGTCGATTTATCCACCAAAATTACTTTATTATCCTTTGCTTGATGAGAAGTTAAGAGCAAATAATGAAAATATAAATGTTTGCCTTTGAAAGGATTACTCTTATTGCAGCTTCGCGTTTCGTAATTGAATTGAATGAATTCGAGATTCTCCGTCAGAATATAAACAACCTTGTCCAAAACAGTGGCATGGAAAGTATGCTTATTATCTTTAAAATGTTTGAACCAACTTCGATGAAGAACTGGGAAAAGACCAAACAGCTTTCGATAATCTTTAGTCTTACCAATCACGATGTAGCTGTCAACAGATTCAAATATCGCAGCCTCATCATTGTTAATTTGTCCAGGAAGCGTCGTATCTTTTTCCTCCAAATGACAAATAAGCGAGCTAGAAGTGAGAAGAGAAAGTAAGTAAGTGAAAGTTGAAAGTAAAAGATCAAGATCTTTTAGCATACCTAGAAGGCTTCAGAAACTGGACAATTGTTTTGGACAATTGGGTATAGTAGGTTTTACCAGCAACTTTGAAGTCAAGCCATCGAAATGTCTTTTTACTCCAATCAACTCGAATACCCTGTCTTCCAGTATCAAATAAAATATCCGAAATGTGTTCTCTATGTACAAATTCAAGAGACATTGAATCGTCTTGAGTAAAATCACCAATCGGCAAACAAAAAAAGTCATCATCGTACACATTTATCAGCAACTTTAAATCATCTATTCGATGAATTGAAATTCGGAAGGTTTGTTTAGTTCGATTGGATCGACAATCACCCTTAGAGGAGATAATTGAATCAAAATCTCTGAGAGTCTTTATTAATTCATTATCTTTAACCTTTGATAACTCAACAGGATCCATGAAAAACCAACGCACACAATTCAATAGTTGAGGAAGTAATCCTTTTCTAGAATCTGCATTCTTATTCACCCATTTCATGATTGATTCAAAAACTTGATATTCAGAGTAAACCATCAAATCTAATTTGAGAATATGTTCGATTGTTGCAACTGGATAATCCAAGAAAACATCAGTGTTGATAATCTTTAAGAAATGGCGGCAGATGAAGTAATCAATGGCTTCTGCATTGATCAATTTGGAAGCTTTTTTGACTTGAGATAAAACAATTGGAAGATGTTCAATGGTAAAATTATTGTGGAAATAATCCATGCATGGTTCAAACAAACGTTCATCGATCATCAAATAATCAGCTGCTTCGTAAAGAGCAATTACATCCTCCATTTGCACTAAGAACGATCCAGTATGAATCCAATTGAGGATAGAATCGAAGACATGTTCATCAAAATCCAGAACCACTTTGTTTTCCGTTGATTCCAACAAATCACCACAAAACATTTTCTCAAAGTACGGCACAGATGAACAAATGAACTTTTTGGAGACATAATATTCATTTTTCCTCACAACAATTTTCAATTGAACATCGCGATCCTGATTCTCTTCATCCATGTTAGTCTCGTTGAGGTTGAAGCACATAGAAAATTAGGAAAAATAAAACAATTTTTAAGGGTCTACAAGTCACTAGTATCCACTCAAGGCTGAAAAACGCTTGAACTTCATTAATTTGGCTACACAAGTGCCAATCGGCACTGCCGATACTGTAATGTGTGCGTTGATAAACTCTGTGACTAATGCAGCGTGAAACTTTCGCGAACGAAATAGTATAAAATCGGTAATGTATGATAACAAGTAACTATAGTTAGACAGTTACTTTTGGTTACAAAATCTCTACCGCCAAATTCAAAAAATGAGAAATTTCCATTTTTTATATCTTCTAAACAATATATTTCTAGAATTGCAAGAATGAAACAATTGTTTCAAAGTTATTCAATGAATATATGAAAAGTAAAAACATTTTATTACAAAAATTTTCTTGTGAACAATGGTTTTATATTTTTTATCGATAAAAACGTAGAGGTGAACGCAATTAACTTATGATAAGTTATATAAGGTTCCTGGGAATTGTGATTCACGTTCAAGATTTTATCTTTTTGAAACCATTTCTTCTGTTTGATGCAGTAAATATAAAATTTTCCCTTCATTTTATCGATAATAATTATTTTATTGTCTTCTGTATGATGAGAAGTTAAGATTAATTCATTAATGCACAAATCTTTATCGGACAGAAAAGCGATTTAGGGTTTTATCAAATGAACATATCTGAGGTTATCTTGAAAATTGACAATCAATTTATTAACTTCCGAGTAATTTAATCCATTAGCACCTGCTTCAATCCATTTGTATGCCTTTTTGTCACAATCGATTCGGATACCGGATCTTCCAGCATGGAATAAAATAACTGAAATGTTTTCTTCATGAAAGAATCCAAGTGACATTGTTATATCTTCAGTGAAGTCACAGATAGGTAAACAGAATAAATCTTTATCAAATATACTTATACGTAACTTCGCATCGATTAATTCCTGGACTGAGACGAAGTAGTTTTGTTTAGTTCGATTGAATCCACAGTCGCGATTAGAGGAAACAATTTAATCGAAATTTCTTAGTCTTTATTAATTCATTTTCCTAAAAATTCAAATTATTAGATTATTAATAGATTTTATCTACAGTACGTCGCAAAAATAACCAACCATAGTTAACTTTTTTAAATGAAAAGTAATCTCATGAAATACTTATTTTTCATGTAGAATAGACTAAATAGAACTATCGGAATAAGGTATAATCACCATTTATCATAATTAAGTGATTAATTTTCGACGAAGTAAAATCCACTATTTTTCAACGTCTTTTTCGCATTTTGTGACCTCAGGTCATTAATTTGGCTTTTTATCGATCAATTTCTTATTATTTAGGTACACTTTAACTCAAGCTTTGACCTTACCATCAAAAAAATTGGATAACTTAGGTACTTTCGCTTAATTTGATTCGAGATAATATTCAAAAAATGCTGCAAAGTTTCACTTAGCGTTTTTCGATGCTTATTTTTAAGACGAAATTGTCGTAAAAAATTGATTAATCAACTGATTAGAAAAATTTTTTCTATTGCTGCAAACTCAACTGATAATTTACTAATAATTTCCCAAAAATTTTTCAATTATCATTTTCCATTAAAAAGTTAACCCTGGTTGGTTATTTTTGAGACCTACTGTAAATAATCTAATTTTATTTTTAGATTTTATGCTTCCTTCTGGATATTGTATAAAATTTAAAAAAGCAAAGAGTTGAAGCTCCTTTCAACCTTCCTTTTTCATCAAAAACTTGGTAATCACAATTACCCGAATTGGTAATTACATGTCTAAATTCAGTAGCAGAAATAAAACTATTACCATTTTTATCAAAAACACGGAAAGCTTCATGGATTTCCTCCTCTGAGTTTGTATTCTCCATTGCTCAAGCCATCATAGACTATAATTCAGAAGATTTTTATTCCTCATACTTTATTAATTACAAGAATGAAGTAATTAGTTCAGAAGTTCCAATAAATATGATAATATTCAAAATTGAATTTCACTCTGAGCGAACACCAAAACATGAGAAAGAAAACGATAAGTGAATTATTTGTGTAAAAGGTTGCATTTTTTAAAATAAAAGGATTCAATGTTAATGTACACTTTGTATTGCATGAGTGTTGAATCACAATTTGTATTATTATTTCCATAAAACGGAAATTAAATTCACATTAATAATATTCACTTCTGATTATATTATATTGTTAAAAAGCTGAAAGAGTTACAGAAAGTCTCGCCTAAACAATGGTTTTATATTTTTCATCGGTAGAAACGTAGAGGTGAAGGCAATCAACTTATCAACACCTTCATAAGAATCGTTGGAATTAGGATTTACATTTAAAATATTATATTTTTCAAACCATTTCTTCTGTTTAATGCAATAAACATAAAATTTTCCGGTGCATCTATCAATCAGAATTATTTTATCATCTTCTGTATGAAGAGAAGTTAAGAATATGTCTTCAACCGACAAATCATCAGCCTCTTCAAATAGTTCGATCTTTTTGTATGAACGGGTTTCCATATTAAATTGGAAAAAATCATCATCCGACGTGAATACATAAACAACTTTGTCCAAAATAGTTGCCTTGAATTCCTCATCATATTCATCCGCATAGCACTTGAACCATTTTGCATGTGTCGCTGGGAAAATACCGAAATATTCCCTGGCGTTACGAGTTTCTCCGATGTAGACAAATCCATCATTATATTCAAGCAATAAATATGAGTTACTGGGAATGGTTTTGCCAAGTGGAGTAGCTTTAGCATCCAAATAGCAGGAATGCTGACTGAAAAATCAAAGTAAAATTAAGGATGAGTCTAACTTATTTATTAAATTTATTTGAAGGCAATTTTGAAGCGGAAAAACAAATTAGGACTGAACCCTAAAATTCAATTTTCCATTGATCAGTTGATATATTTTGACGGATATTAATATCCATATTACTGTAATATAACAATATCTTTCAAATAAACTGATCACAAGTAATTTAAGACTTGAATTGGCTCGACATTCCAACACATGAAACATACCTACGATCATCCTGAAAATCGACAATCAATTTATTAATTAACGGGTAGTAGGGTTTATGATCTTCATTATCGAGCCGTTTAAATGTCTTTTTGTTCCAGTCAACTCGAATACCTTTTCTTCCAGAATCAAATAAAATATCTGAAATGTTTTCTCCATGAACGAATTGGGTTGACATTGTATCATCTTTAGTAAAATCACCAATCGGCAATGAGAATAGTTTTTTATCGAATATATTTATCCGTAACTTTAAATTACCTAATCACTGGAGTGAGACGAAGTAGTTTTGTTTAGTACGATTAAATCCACAGTCGCCATTAGAGGAGATGATTGAATCTAAATGTTTTAGAACCTTTATTAAATCATTATCTTTAGCCTTTGATAACTCACCAGGATCCATAAAAGACCAACGCACGAGTCTCAATAGCCTTGAAAGAAATTCTTTTCTTGAATCAACATTCTTATGCACCCATTTCATGATTGATTCAAAAACTTGATATTCAGAGTAGATCATTAAATCTAATTTGAGAATATGTTCAAGCGTTTCAACTGGATAATCCAAGAAAACATTCGTGTTAGCGATCTTCAAGAAATGGCGACAAATGAAACTATTAACAGCTCCTGAAGTTATCAATTTGGAAGATTTTTTGACTTGAGTCAAAACAATTGGAATATATTTTATGGTAAAATTTTTATGGAAATACTCAAAACAAGGTTTAAACAAACGCTTGCTTATCCTCAAACACTTAGCTGCTTCATAGAAACTTATCACATAATCCATTTGAATGATGAATATTTCTGTGTGAATCCAGTTAAGAAGAGCATCAAAGGCACGTTCATCAAAATCCAAAGTCACTTTGTTTTCCCTTGATTCCCATTCGTCGTCAGAAAACAATTTTTTAAAATAAGGCACAACCAAACAAATAAACTTTTTAGAGACACAATAGTCACATCTTCTATTCACTATTATCAGTTCGTCATCACAATTCTGAGCCATTTCATCCATTATAAAAAGCTAAAAAAGATAAATAAACTTATGAAAAAGCTAAGTATCAAAAAAATCACTGCAAAAGCATAAAGGTAGGCTTGGAGTCATAAAATTTAAATTGTGTTTACAACAACAAGTTCACATGTTGTTTCTGTTAAAAGCAGACTTATATTTTGTTTTGTCGTAGGTGTCGCTCCGTTTCACAAGCAGCACTTATGAAAAACGATGAAACTTCATTAATTAGGCTAAACAAGTACCGATACTTCAAAGTGTGCATTGATAAACTCTGTGACTAATGTATCGTGAAACTTTCGCGAACGTAGTATAATAATATCATCGGTAATATAATCTCAAGTAACTATGGTTAAATAGCTTCTTTCTGGTTACAAATTTTCTACCGCCAAATTTAAAAATGCAATTTTTATGGAAATACTTAAAAACAACGTTCAAAAAAGATCGCTGATCATCAAACCAGCTGCTTCATAAAAACTAATCAAATAATCCATTTGAATGATGAATACACCTGTGTGAATCCAATTAAGAAGAGCATCAAAGGCACGTTCATATAATCCAGAGTCACTTTGTCAGAGTAACTGTTTCTGGTGAGGTCGAAGAGGATGTGTGACACTCGGTTGAAGTATGTGTGAGATCATCACAGTTGATGTTTAACGTTGTGGATGAGGGTAAATTGGATGGTGAGCATGATACTTTGGGTTATTTGTTGGTCGATAAGGAGGTGGTTGATGAAGAGGAAGAAGAGGAGAGGAGGATGAAGATTAAGACGAGGAAGATAGTGGTGATGAGATGGGTGAACATCGTTGGATAGGAGAAATTAGTTTGACTTTACTATCAAAATCTCTTTCTAATGAACATCGTACTCTTGGAATGGACATTGTCGAGTGACAATAAAAATAAACAAATGTGGACAAGAGCAATTGACGAGACGGTCAAGTGAAGAGAAAGACAAAGATTCGTGAAATGATGGGAAAAATGTTTGAAAATATTTTGATTTTCAATCAACAAATGATGGCGACAATAGACTAATTATTGGGTTGGCGTTGGAACAAAAATTTTTGCTAATGTTGCTGGGATCATAATGAGGATGGATAAAAGTTTACGTCCTCATTATAACAGTTTGCTTACAGTTTCCGTAAAAATTATTTTATCAGTTTAAATTACTTGTATTAGCTGTGTGTTGTATGTGTTGGATTTAGGTTATATGTTCAAGTCTAACAAGTGAAGTGGTATGGCTTTGAAAAGCATTGATCGGATTTCGAGGTAGAAAAGGACGATTGGGTTCTCAACTTTGGACGGTAACAACTATTTTCATTAAGAAAATTCATCATCATAAAATGGTTGATCGATCGGGTCTATGCAAGATTGAGACAGAAAGAAGAGAGAAAGGAAAAACTAGAGATGGCAGGAAAAGATCGAGAACTCGACAGATCGAACTTATAGAGCTGCGAACCGAGCAAAGTTCGAGCTTTTGAACTTACGATCTGATTGAGATCGACCTTTTAAAAATTTGAGTACTCGAGAAAGATCGGCCGGGCTATAAATTACGTAAAAGAACGCAAAAATTGATAGATTTTTGATGATTTTGTTTTTCATTCAATAATTTCAGTCAGCAATTGTATGGAAAATCAAAACATTGAAAGATCAATCTTAAATCGGCCTCCGAGTGCATCTTTTCATTTTAATCGATCTTGGGCTCGATCTTTTTAATTTTTTCGAAAAGTCGAGTTTGTTGGTGAAAACAGAGGAAATTCAGGAAATAAAGGTGAAATAATATTAGATACAAATAGTGATTTGCGAGTTTCTCATGATTAACATTGAAACTAGCAAATACCTTTACGAATATGTAAGGAATGAAATGAGCTTTATTCAGCTTTTATCAATTTTTGATAAATGATAAAGGTTTACACGGTATTGAATGTCGAAGTTGAAATCAACAAGTGTTGACAAGTGTCAATTTGATTGCTGTTTCAATCTGATGAGAAACAATGGAAGCTTATTCTCTCACAACTGTCAGTATATAACTGTTAGGCCAACGCATTATTATTATACTTAATGAATTGTTAATGCAGCATCGAAATGAATTTTATTTTTAACTTGGAACCTTTCAATTCTTTCAGCTTTTCTGTGTTCATCTTGATATTAACCTCCCCTGCTGTCCTGCATGATATAGCTCCAGAACGGAATTACCCCATCCAATAATCGACTGTGGCTCTCTTAAGCGCTTTATTTCCAACTTTACAAACCAAACTTGAATGCACTACGCTGTTTAAATAACCTTCAATAGCACAAAATGGCAGAGTTCAGTTCAATCTAGTTTGTCTAACAAGAAACGCGCTAAGTTTAAGGTTACCTAAAATAGTTTGGTCCAACCTAATATGTATTTCTCAACCCAACTTTTAGCCATGAAAACATGATTGAAATTTAAATTTTTCTATTCATCAAACCAAATCAACCAACCATGGAAATAAAGAATACTTTCATTACTTTCCATGGTAATATTATAAAGATGTGTTCAATCTTAAAGGGCCCTTCCTTTCATCAATCTGTGATAAATTATTAAGGTTGTTAAGGTACGACACCTCTATACTAAAATTAGTCTTTGTTCTCGGTTTATTTGGTAAATAACCAGACTCAACTACGGCCAGTTAATCAAAATCAGCATCCGGTAAATTAACAATTTGACGGTCTTCTTCAGCGGTGGCATCCTAGTCCGTTCCGCCTCTTCTACTACAGAATCTTCTTCTTCTGCCTGTGATGATTACACGTTTTTTTCTGTCCAGCATATCTTCACGAAGTGCCTGTTCATATTCGACTTTGTTTACGTTTCGATCTGTTTCCTGACTCAGGCCATATCTAAGTTAAAGAGAAAATGAAATAAACAAAAGACAAAAAATAGAAAAAACGAAAGTTTAACAATAATATATACATAATTACTTCATTAACCTATTGAAATTTATGTATTCGACAATCATTATTGTAATTGATTGAATATTAATATTTAGGTCAATGTTGGTTGGAAGAAGACTGAGGCCAGTTTTATACTGAGGTCCGGCGTATGTTGTACCCAACGAGTACTAAGCTTCGTCCTCATTTGAGATTACCTCGTTCTGGACTAACGCTATGTCACATATTTATATAGCTATCGTAAGCAAGCTGCTGAAGGTGTTGCTAGATGAGTAACATTAAGTATATCGAAAATCGTAAGCTTTATAAGTCCAAGAACAATCCCATGAAATATCCTAAAGTAGTGCGTCCTGATGGTGATTTTGCATACTATAAGAGTCTATACTATTATAGAGGGTCTAATTTAGATGTTAAGGTTCCCTTTCTCGATAATGTTAAGATGCTATATGTTATTGATAGGAGTTCTAACAATTAAGTTCGTCTCGCTAGTTCTATATGCATCGATTGTCACGAGGATTCCAATGTGACAATGTGCCTGTTGAAAGGTATAATCTGGTTGAATATCATACCTTTGCGTGGGGAGAAAAAATAAAGTCGAGTTTGTTGGTGAAAACAGAGGAAATTCAGGGAATGGAGGTGAAATTAGATTGAATAGGAATAGTGATTTGTGAGTTTCTCTTGATTAACATTGAAAATAACACAGACCTTTACAACTATGTAAGGAACGAAATGAGCCCCACACAAGAATTGCTAAACGATGAAGGTTTACACGGTATTTAATGTCAAAGTTGAAATCAACATGTAAAATGTTTCGACTTTGATCTCTGTTTCAATCTGACGTTAAACAATGGTCAGTATTTAAATGTTAGGTCAAAATATTATTGTTCAGATAATTGTTATTACAACAGTCAGAACGAAATTTATTTGCACTATGTATTTATTTCTTAGCTTAACGTATCTATTAGACATGAAAACATGATTGCCATTTAACTTTTGCTATTTATCAAACCAAATTAACCAACCATGGAAATGAAGAATACGTTCATTAATATTATAAAGATGTTGTTGTTGTTGATGATCATCTAGGTCGACCAAAAAGTTTTTTCCCTTGAGTTTTTGGGCACCAGTTCTGAATAGAAAATTGGACTCATTCTCAGCATCATTCACGGTGCAATCGTCTTTCAACTCGTCTTTCAACTGCATCTGATATCCAGATACAACCAATTTGATCTTTGAACATCTCTGTAATCCAACCCTCTTATCAGACAAGTTGAGAAGATATTTTATAATAGTTTGTGCATTTAATGGTCGATCACATATGAATGAAAATTCTGAAATTGGCGTGATCAACCTTTACATAAATAAATTAGATAGATGAATAGCTGGTGAGGACATTCAAAGAAGTTTTGAGTTGTCAACTTGTATCCAAAATCGGCAGCGAATACACAAGAATTAGAAGAGTAGCCTTTCAATCCTCTCTTTCTTGAATTTGTTTTCATCCGGTACCGAGTAGTTAGTATCAGTAAACAGGATTGCCATTCTTGATTCAATTCTTGAATTCTTAAGTTTCCTTGGATTCTGTATTGTTCTCAAGAGAAAGATCACATCTAACCTACTCGCATCCAGGATTCAAATGGTCATGTAAAATGGATCTTTATTATAATATTAATAATAATACAAGTTATAGTTATTGGATCCTTGGTGATTTCTTCGATCTTTGTTTTAAATTAGATGGAATTTCTTGAATTCTGTGAAAGAAACTCAGGTATTAAAACAGAAATTATCGACAACGATAGCTGTGGCTGACAGCTAAAATCGAGCCTTGGAGACCTCATCCGACAAGATGATAGATAGATCGATAAAATTAAATCTTCCAATATGTTCCGAATGTATAAATTGTTGTTTGTCATGATTTTATGAATAAATTCAGTTGTTTTCTTTGCAATATGCATGACCATTTTATTTGGTAGAGTTATCTCTCTCTTAAGTTATTTTTATTCGCAGTCGACCGGCTGTCTACCAGCCTATGGCTTGTGTGTCGCGTGTCCCTAGTTACTTGAGGGTGAACTCGCAAGGGCTGGGCTTTAATAGTTCAGGATAGTTCAGGGGGCTTAAACCCTGGTACAACTCACTGTACTGTATTTCGCCCGGAACCAGGACTTGGCGAGATTCGAAGAGACCTTCTTCTCTGTCTCTTTCTATTTCTGTTTCTTTTTCAAATATGAGGGAACGAACTTAAGTGAGAGACTACTGTACATATTTCGTATTTCTGCACAACATTCTTCTGGATTCGGTAATGGTGGAAACTGTGGTTACTGTAGATATTAATAGTTACTGGTTTCAAATTTTCTACCGCCAAATTTAAAAATGAAAAATTTGTATTTTTATTTTGCAGAAAGGTTTAAAGCAGCGTTGGGTTGAGTTTTAAGACACTCGGTTGAACCAATCAATAACTTGATTTTATATTCAGCTGGAGTCAGAGCTTGAGTTTGAGCTTTTTTGATGCAATAAGTTTCTCATAGTTAATGTTGCAATTTTGTGTGCTTGTTAACACCCTTTTCAGTCAACAAGATAACAGTTGGATCGTCAACAGGGATAGACTTCCACACAGAAGGCCTAGTAATGTCAATACTAAAAAGACAAATTGAAAGCGTCAAAATTTCACCTCCAGCTGTATGAGTAAGCATGAAAGCGCTCATAATAGGCTGTGAAGTTGACAACAGTTGTAAGGGTCCAGAAAAATGTAACTTTTTCGGGTAAAGAGGGATGCGATTGTGTTCAAGTTGTTTAAATTCGAAAATAAAACAGATTATTGTACAACTGTCTTGTAATTGATCAATCCATTTGATCCAAAGAAACGTCGAAGAATCGCAATCTTGAATTCTGAGGCTTACTTAATTTGAGCTGTTAAAGTAATACATGATAAATTGTTTAACAATTTTTATGCATCAAGAAATGGAATATTTGTGAACTTTCGCAACAAAATGCTGATTCACTGTACATGACAAAAATGCTCATACATCAAAAGTTAAATACAGCGATTCTCGGTGAGTTCATCAGAGTTTGAAAAATTTCACAAATGTTATTAGTTTTGTTTTCAAATGGGTAGTCACAACTTAGAACTTTTGTTGAAATAATTCGCAAAACTGCTGAAATGTTTAGATTATGAAATTATTTTTCTCAATAGCTTGACCAGTTTTCGCAAATTTTTGCAAATTTTTGCCAACAAAACTAAAAATTTTAAACTCTCACGAACTCACCGAGATTTCTATAATAATAAATTATCTTAAATGATACATATTTATAACTTTATATAAATTCCTGATACCATTCAATGAAAGGAATCAACAACGATAGAGAAGACGTTATATCAACTATTACTATCAATACGGTCTTGTAATTCTTGTAATTCTGTGCAGGATGGAGTTTTCATCTTCCGAACTTGATCTTCAAATATTGAGTCTCCAATGTTTTTAGCTTTCCAAATCAAGTTTTCTTCTATAAAACAGAGAACGAAAAAATATTACTTGAGTAAATTAATGTGCAAGAATTGGGAATAGATTGAACTTACTATGATTCCTCTCCTTGAAGCAACGTGTTCTCAAATTTTTAGTAAAGTCATGATTAACTTCTTGCTCAATGTTGGTTATTATTTGTTTATAGTCTCTTTCAAAGTTCTCTTTAACGAAATATGGAATCTTCAGGTCCGAAGTTTTTCGCAAAAGTGGATATTTACTGGAATGTAAAAAATATTGATTAGTTTTATCAACTGCTTTAACATTTTCATTAAAGTATTGAAATAATATTTACTTGCTACGCGCTAGACTGAATATTGGATCACGGATAAGAAAGGAACTCATGATGGACATAATTATGAACACGATCACAGGTAATAATTGAAGGAAAACGCTGATTCCACTAGATGATTGGGAGGTTTGACGGTTTGACCAGCGATTGTTGGCTGTATAAACATGAGAGTTGCCAAAAAATACATTAAATAGCTCTTCTGGGCCCATTTGTTGCCCAGCAAAGCGTCTTGGATATCCATAAGGCTCATACAAATCTGTTTTGGATGGTCTTCGAAATTCACTTGAACATTGTAGATCATAACATCTTCGTTTCTCTGGATCACCAAGCACATCGAATGCGTTACTTATGGCTTTAAATGCGTCTGATGCTCCTGGAGCTTTATTTTTATCGGGATGAAATTGTAATGCTAGTTTACGATACTGTTTCTTTAATTCTTGATCACTCGTCTCCTTTGTTATTCCCAACATTTTATAATAATCCTTACATCTGGTTATTTTTTCAACAGCTTCGAGTTGAGCTTGACTGAATTCTCTTGTCGAATCATCATCATCACTACATTCCTTTTGGTTACTTCTTATTTCTTGAAAATTAGGTTCACTTTGATGCGAATATTTTTCATCTGATTTCCATTTTTCCCTTTCACGTCTCGATTCAAATCGTCCATTTTCCTCGGAAATCAAAATTAATTGTTCAACTTTATCGATCATTCCTAAGCAAAAAGAAAAAAAACGTAAAAATATGATCAATGTAGATTCAATTTGCATTTAAATGAAAATGGGCGATGAAATAACCGCACTTGTGAGTCGTCTATGGACAAGGCATAAAAGGGCAAAAAATAATATTGAACTTTTGAAGATAAGACCAGAAACAAGACACAAATGGATTACATTGAGAAAGACACACGAATCAAACTGCTACAAAAGCCTGGTTTCATGTGATAGTCAAACTCGAGCAAGTATAAGAGAGAAATAAAATAAGTCAACCTCGAATCTATCAATATCAAGCTAGACCCTATTTATTATCATAAATTATAATTCAGAGAAAACTAAAATTCATAGCCTAATGGTTAGATCGATTCTTGAGTGAATGTTTAGAGACGATTTAATAAAAACAATCTGAAAATTAAGACGACAAAATCAGAATTGGAATAAAAATACTAACCTTTAACGTAAGATGATGGGAAAGCTTGTTGTGATTTGTAAAGATATTTAAGAGCATTCCGCTGGTCATCATTTAATAAATACTTTTGGGCGATTTTAAGATATTTCTCACTTTCCTCTTGATCACGAATCATTATTAAACATTCATTTAAATTATAAGCTGGAAAATCTGGCTATTAAGAGTCAATCGAAAAGAGTTGACAAAAAATGGATGATGACTACTATGGTTGCCAATGGTGATGGAAACAGGCAAAAGCAATGAAAACAAGGAAACTTACAAGCAAGCAAAAAGTATTGTTGGTTGTTGGCCAAATAAGATCACAAATTGAAAGATTTCCAGGTTAAGAAGGTCGTACATTCTCGAATGACGATCTGACTCTTCCATTGTCCACCAATTCAGCATCTACGATCAAATGAAATAAATAATTTATCATATATTGCCGATGATTCCAAATTTTGATGATTAAAATGCAAATCAAAACCAACTAAACATTATTTGAATGGCTGGAGAGGCTGACAGTGATGAGGGTAATGAAGGTGAAAAATTATGATATGATGAAAAAAGAAAAAGAAAAAGAAGAAATGGCAATTATCTGGTCCAGTATTTCATTTCAAAATATCACAACATCGGGTCAACTACAATTTTGCATATTTACATTGCCTAAAAGGCTTATGGACACTCTTCTTCATCTTTCCTTACTTTCCATTTTGATCCTTTTTTGCTTCTCTTCTTTACTTTTACAATCTCTGTCGACTCTTTTCTTAAAGCACAAGGAGAAACTTTACTTTAATGCGACTCTCATCATTCCCTTGCTCGCCAAGAACTGGCAAAAACTCACCGCGATCAGATTTATGATATGTTATGCTTTAAGTGTATTTGAGACTTTTCCACTGATCAGTTGATACATTTTTGTCAAAATGATTTTGATGATTAGATAACAAGATCATTGAAACAATTAACACTTTCTTGAATAAAACATTCATCACAAGTTGTTGAAGATCAAATTTGACCGGTCATTTTGATCTTATGACTAAATAACGGGAAAGTTTCAACGAATGCCACTCTCTACTCACAGTAGAATAAGAAAAGCCAGTTTAAGACAAAGAATTTATTCTGGTCATGCTAATTTCGTAAGAATGTAAATTCACATTATTTTTAGTATTTTTCTTTTAGCGAACAAAATCGAATAAATCTTTCATTATGTTTCGAATGTAGTTTATCCTGATTACATGTATCGATCTTTATTCATAATCATAATCATTTGATTTTTACTGCGTGTTATTGACTTACACTTTATAATTAAGAATACGTTAAGTAAATTATTTGGTACAAAAGATTGGATTTTTTAAATATTAATAAAAGGAATGGTAAAGTACACTTTGTATTATATATTGCATGAATTTTGAATCGTAATAAAAAGGAAATATAATTCAGATTAATCATATTGAACTGCTAACTGTTAAAAAGCTGAAAGAGTTATAAAAAGTCTCGCCTGAACAATGGTTTTATATTTTTAATCGGCAAAAACGTTGAGGTGAAAGCCATTAACTCTTGAGTATCTTCATGAGAGCCGTTGGAATTTACATTGAAGAATTCATACTTTTCAAACCATTTCTTCTGTTTAATGCAATAAACATAAAATTTTCCGGTGCATCTATCGACCAGAATTATCTTATCATCTTCTGTATGAAGAGAAGTTAAGTTTAAGTCTTTAATGCACAAATCATCGGCACCTTTAAATAGTTCAATCTCTTTGTATGCACGGGTTTCCATATTAAATTGGAAAAACTCTCTTTCCGATGTGAAGACATAAAGAATTTTGTCCAAAATAGTCGCATGGAATTCATAATCATAATGATCATCGTATTCATTGAATTTTCTTGAATCCGTCGCTGGGAAAATACCTAAATATCCAGTTTGCCAAGAATCTTTTTCTCCTATGCAAACGAAAGCACCATTATATTCAACCAATAGGTATGTATGACGGGGAATTTCATCACCAAGTGCAGTAGCTTTAGCGTCCAAATAGCAGGAATATTGACTGAAAAATCAAAGTAAAATTAAAGATGAGTCTAACTTGGAGATCTCTTGATAAAATAAGAAAATCGTCATCAAAAATGCAGTTCATTTGATGTAATTTACTGAATTAGAATTATCGAAAAACCAGATTAGGACTGAACCCGAAAATTCAATCCAATGAGAAATGATGCGTCTGAAATTAAATTTGAAACTTTTGCATTGATCAGTTGACACATTGTGACGGATAGATACATATCATGCGTTTCAGCATCATTGGAATGAAATCCTTCTGTGAGTTTCATATATCCTCGTCGCCCGTAACACTTTTAACCGACAATACATTTGTAATATTCTCTGTGAATGTAGCACATCAAATCCCTTCAAATTATTCGCAAACTAGTTGAAACTTGTAGAGATTTGGTGCGATCGTAAAACTTTGAACGGCAAACAAAAAAGCTTTGAAAACTGTGTAATCAACAAATAGAAACTCGAGGATTTGAAAATTTAAGAAAAAAAATGAATATCAAGTAGCAAAACGATTTAGCGTTTTATAAAAATTAACATACCTACGATCATCCTGAAAATTGACAATCAATTTATGAATTTCCGGGTAATAGGGTTTATAATCCTTGTCATCAAGCCGTTTAAATGTCTTTTTGTTCCAGTCAATTCGGACACATCCTCTTCCAGAGTCAAATAAAATATCTGAAATATTTTCTCCATGTACGAATTGGGTCGACATTTTATCATCTTCAGTAAAATCACCAATCGGTAAACAAAATAAATCTTTATCGAATATATTTATCCGTACCTTTGAATAGCAATCTAATTCCTGGATTGAGACGAAGTAGTTTTGTTTACTACGATTGAATCCACAGCCAACATTAGAAGAAATAATTGAATCAAAGCTTCTCAGATTCGCTATGAATTCATTGGTCTTAACATTTGATAACTCAACAGGATCCATGAAAGACCAACGCACGAATTGCAATATCCTTGAAAGAAATTCTTTTCTTGAATCAACATTCTTATTTACCCATTTCATGATTGATTCAAAAACTTGGTACTCAGAATAAACCATTAAATCTAATTTGAGAATATGTTCGATTGTTGCAACTGGATAATCCAAGAAAACATCAGTGTTGGCAATCTTTAAGAAATGGCGGCAGATGAAGTAGTCAATAACTTCTAAATTGATCAACTTGGTAGTTTTTGTAACTTTGCTTAAAATAACTGGAATATGTTCAATGGTAAAATTATTGTGGAAATAATTAAGACATGGTTTAAACAAACGTTGACTTATCATCAAATAATCAGCTGCTTCATAAAAACTTATCACATAATCCATTTGAATGATGAATATTTCTGTATGGATCCAGTTAAGAAGAGCATCGAAGGCACGCTCATCAAAATCCAGAGTCACTTTGTTTTCCCTTGATTCCAATTCATCGCCAGAAAACAATTTTGAAAAATAAGGCACAACTGAACAAATGAACTTTTTAGAGACATAATATTCACATTTTCTATTCACAATTATCAGTTCTTCATTACAATTCTGATTCACTTCATCCATTTTAAAACAGTGGGCAAAATAAAATAACTAAAAACGCTAAAAAAAATCGATAGCGAAGTACTAAAAAAATTATTTTAAAAGCATAAAGTAAGTCTTGGAGTCATAAAATGTAAAGGTGTTCATTTAGCTCACATGTTTTTACTGCTTACTATTGGTAAGGGCGGGACTTACACGTTATGTTGCGTAAAGTCAAATAGTATAAATCAAGTAGCCGTCGGATGCCATCAATATTAGTATGAACTATGTTAATCAGATGATGGGTAAGCTTCTTAAGGAACTTAACCGATTAAATCTTGAAACATGTTTCGAGTGCAAAGAATTATCATCTTAACATTCATCAATTCTAAGTTCAAGTTGTGCTTTCTATTCATTTGATCTCTGTGCTATTGAGATTTGAAGTTGTTTGTAGTTTGTTGTGTTTGAAGGAATTTGAGTTTTATTTTAAATTATTATAATAATCATAATCATATGCATAAAAATTGGGAATAAACTCGAATAACTCGAAAAATAAAAATTCATTGCAATTTCTGCACCAACACTTAAAGTTTGGTGAATAAGGCACAAGTATTTCAAAGGTCACAAAACTTTCTTTTATACAATGGTTTGATATATTTTGTCTGTAAAAATGTTGAGGCGAAGGCAATTAGCTGATTGGCAGGAGCATTAGAACTGTCAGAATAAAAATTTACATTCATGATTCGATACTTTTCAATCCATTTCTCCTGATTAATGAGGTAAACATGAATTTTTCCTGATGATTTATTGACCAAAATAACTTTGTCGTCCTTTGATTGTTGAGAAGTTAAGATTAAATCATTGAAACTCCATTTTTGCCCTTTGAAAGGATAACTCTTATTGAAGCTTCGAGTTTCGTGGTTGAATTGAATAAATTCGAGTTCCTCCGTCAATATATAAACAACTTTATCCAAAATAGTGGCATGGAAAGATTGATCAGGTTCTCCATAAGTATAGCACCAATGTGGAGGGCCAACTGGGAAAAGGCCAAACCACTTTTTATCGTCTTTAGTTTTACCAATCGCAATGTATTTGTCAACAGATTCAAGATACACATTGCGATTACCATAGAAATTCAGTTTCGTATCTTTTTCTTCCAAATAGCAGTACAAGGAGCTAGAAGACAAAAAAAGAGAAATAGATTAGACGGAGAATATTTGAGTATTTTTCTGATATCCAAACAAAAAAGGCTAAAAAATAAATAAATACACTAATATTTACTTTAAATTTTGCAGAAGTTGCAATTTTAAAGAAAAAGAATACATTTGAATGAATGTATTTTCGGAATCTAGACATAAATTAATTGAGAAGATTATACAACTATGAGCAGTGGTGTTTGATATGACTCGTATCATAAAAACATTTACCATCACATCGATAGCAAAATGTTAGCATTTATGAAGAAGTTTGATAATGATCGAAAAAATGAACTACAAAAATCGTGAATGAACATGTAAAGCCGAACCAGGCTTTCATGTCTTTCTAACATTTCTCAAAGGCTTTAAAATTTTTGCTGAAAGTTTTTGTCAATGGGTAAATTTTGAAAGACCATCTATGATCTGGGACTTTAAACATACCCTGATTGCGTCAAAAACTTAAGAATGATATTGTTCAATTGCCTATAACGGTTTCCATTATTGCCTTCCATGCCAAGCCATCGAAATGTCTTTTTACTCCAATCTATTCGGATACCTTTTCGTCCAGAATCAAATACAATATCTGAAATGTGTTCTCCAGGAATAAATCCAAGTGATATTGAGTCATCTCGAGTAAAAGCACCGATCGGCAAACGAAATAATTCAGTATCAAACACATTTATTGTTAAATTTGAATCATCAATTCGGTCGATAGAAATGAAGAAGTTTTGTTTACTACGATTGAATCCATATTCACAATCAGGAGAGGTAATTGAATCAAGATTTGACAAGCCTTTGATTAACTTGGCATTCTTTATTTTAGTTACATCAACAGGATCCATGAAAGACCAGCGTACACAATTTAATAGCCTTGGAAGTAATCGTTTTCTAGATCCAGTCCTTTTATTCACCCATCTTATGATTGCTTCAAAAACTTGGTATTCAGAGTAAATCATTAAATCTAATTTGAGAATATGTTCAACTGTTTCAACTGGATATTGCAAGAAGATATTTGTATTGGCGATCAGCAAGAAATGGCGACAAATAAAGTTGTCAATAACTTGTAAATTGATCAACTTAGTAGTTTTTGTAACTTTGCTCAAAATAACTGGAATATGTTCAATCTTAAAATTGTTCTGGAAATAATTAAGACATGGTTTAAACAAACGGTCACTTATCATCAAATGATCAGCTACTTCGAAGATATCGATAACGTCCTCCAGTTGAATTAAAAAAGACCCACAATGAATCCAGTTGAGGACAGAATCAAAGTTATGTTCATCAAAATCTAGTTCCACTTTGTTTTCCTTTGGTTCCAACAAATCACCACAAAATATTTTTTCAAAATATGGCACAGCTGAACAGATGAACTTTTTAGAAACATAATAAACATTTTTCCTAACAACAATTTTTAATTCCTCATCCGTACTTTGATCCATTTCGTCCAAAATTGGTTAAGAGAGATTACACAAAAAAATTATCAAAACTTAAAAAACAAACAATTTTTATAGGTACAACTGTAATCCTTCTCATGGTAAATAGTTTGTTTGCATTTTCTTGTAAGAAACCAGACTTAGGTTAACATATCCGCGAGCTCTTATCAAAACAGAAATCACTAAGAGTACCTTTCAGTAAACACAGCAAACACTAAAATACCATCGACCAAGCTACAAATGTGTCGATGTTTGAAAGAACGCATTTTTTAAACCTCGTCTCTTGAGGCTCGTAACTAATGAAGCTAAGAAACTATGGTAACCACAGTGTTGTTAGGTACTTTCTGGTTCATAATTTTCTACCGCCAAATTTAAAAAGGAGAAAGCAGGATTCGCATTTTGATTTTGTCGAGGCAATCAGAAAGTTTTCATTTTTTCTTTGTAAATTTTAATCTCAATGTAATCTCGAAGTCTTAACTTTGATAACATTGAAATTTGAATTAAAAATTGAATGGATGGTGCCAAGCTAATTATAAACTAATAAATGTATACAATGTAACTTTAATAAAATATTACATTGTATAATATATGTATTTATAAATAAAGCTCTCATATTTTCTCAATTCAGATTCACTGTATCTTTCATCCTTCAATTAAATTAACATATTAACATTAAATAAAAGTTTCGTATAAACGCTCGCTGATCATCAAATAATCAGCTGCTTCATAGAAACTAATCAGATAATCCATACGAATGATGAATAAATCTGTGTGAATCCAAGCAAGAAGAGCATCAAAGACACGTTCATCAAAATCCAGAGTCACTTTGTTTTCCCTTGATTCCAATTCATCGCCAGAAAACAATTTTGAAAAATAAGGCACAACTGAACAAATGAACTTTTTAGAGACACAATATTCACATCTTCTATTCACTATTATCAGTTCGTCATCACAATTCTGATCGACTTCATCTATTAATATCTTAATATTATAAAGCATCAGATTCAAACAATGAAAATTATTCTCATTGTTATTATGAGAGAATTCTAAATAATGTAACAGGAATATTTCATCCGAACACCTTGTATAATTATTATTCATTCATAAAAATTGAAAAATTTACACGATTCACTTTCTTTATTTTAGTTCTGATGAATAACACACATAGTTTATAGTCAAGTAAAAATTCTTCTATACAAAGGTTTGATATTTTTCATCTGTAAAAACGTTGAAGTGAAGGCAATCAGCTCATTCGAATTTACATTGGAATTGCTGGAGCCAAAGTTTACAATGTTGATTCGATATTTTTCGATCCATTTCTTCTGATTTATGAGGTAAACATACATTTTTCCTGATGATTTATTGATCAAAATAACTTTGTCGTCCTTTGATTGGTGAGAAGTTAAGATTAAATCGTTGAAATCCCACTTTTGGTCTTTGAATGGTTCACTTTTATTGAAACATTTAGCTTCGTAATCGAATTGAATAAATTCGAGTCCTCTCGTCAATATATAAACAACCTTGTCCAAAACAGTGACATGTAAAGTACGCTGATTATCATAATGTGTGAACCAACTGTGATGAATAACTGGAAATTGACCATACCATCTTTTATCGTCTTTAATTTTACCAATCACAATATATTGGTCAACAGATTCAAGTAGCAAATTCTCTTCCATGCTAATTGGTGAAGACGGGTTACTACCTGTTGCTTCCAAATAGCAGCTAAAACGGCTAAGGATTGAGAAAAGAATGAATAAAGGTATTAATTTAAAAATTGACTTTTGGCAGAATATAAATTTTCCTAAACCATTAATGAATTAATACCAAAAAAAACACATAGAACCTACCTAAGATTGAAAAACTGGATGATGGTGTGATGCAATTTACTGTAATTGATAGTGTTAACTTTTGAGTCAAGCCATCGAAATGTCTTTTTACTCCAATCTATTCGGATGGCTTTTTTCTCAGAATCAAATAAAATATCTGAAATGTTTTCTCCATGAAAAAAATCAAGTGTCATTGTATTATCTTGAGTGAAATCACCAACTGGAAAACAAGATAATTCATTATCAAATACGTTTAGCCGTAACTTTGCATCATTTAGCTTCTGGATGGAGACGAAGAAGGTTTGCTTGCTACGATTTAATCCATATTCACAATCAGAAGAGATAATTGAATCCAGATTTGACAAGCCTTTGATTAAGCCATCAAGTCTACCCTTTATTTTAGTTACATCAACATGATCCAGGAAAGACCAACGCACACAATTCAATAGCTGTGGAAGTAATTCTTTTCTTGAATATTCTTTACTCACCCATTTCATGATAGATTCAAAAACTTGATATTCAGAGTAAATCATCAAATTTAATTTGAGAATATATTCAACTGTCTCAACTGGATAATCCAAAAAAACATTTGTGTTAATAATCTTCAAGAAATGGCGACAGATAAAGTAGTCAATAGCCTCTGAATTGATCAACTTGGAAACTTTTGTAACTTGAGGTAAAACAACTGGAAGATGTTCAATGGTGAACTTTTCATGAAAATAAGAATTACAAGGTCTAATCAAAGTTTCATCTATCATCAAGTAATCAGCTAGATTGTAACACTTTATCACATTCTCCATTTGAACAATGAGTAAACCAGAGTGAACCCAGGTAAGAATTATATTGAAGACTTCTTCATCAAAATCAAGCACCACTTTGTTTTCCTTTGATTCCAGCAAATCACAGCAAAACATCTTCTCAAAGTAAGGCACAACTGAACAGATGAACTTTTTAGAAACATAAAATACATTTTTCTTAACAACAATTTTCAATTCCTCATCCAAATTTTGATTTTCTTCGCTCATGGTAATGAATGTAGCATTCAGGGGGAACAATATACAAACGCAAAAAATGGACAATTACCTATATATAATTGTCTATCAAAATAGAGAAACAGTTTACTGTGAGTTTCTTGTTTAAACTTTGCATTCGCTGCAGATAACAAAATACATGTTGTAGTTTCATGATACAATATGTATTAATGTATTTAATAATCATGTGATTTGAATGTGATTTTTACGTTGCCATCTATTAGTCAAATTATAAAGGAAGACATCTTGCTCGCTGATGAATAAATGTAAAGTGTTAGTTACTTGGTTAATCAGTACCTATTTGTTTACAATTTCCCTTATCTTAAATAAGGAGTGGTCCCTAAAAAATTGGACAAATTTTGAATCAAATTTCAAATATGTTAGGATTCTTCGAATAAAGGATTCTATAGCGTAAATTAACGAGCATTCTTCGTTTCAATTGAATCACGAGGTCTCTAAAGTTAATTGAGGATTGGAGCGTGCAAAGAAAAGTCGAAAATGATTAATGATTCCAAACCACAATTTTTCCCATCTCATAAAGCTAGCTCATCTTTTAATCATCCTGTTTCTTTTTCTCATTCCAACTGTAAGAAATTCTTGTGGAACAATTCTTCTTGATAAATCATTGAAAGAAACTGTATTTTAATGAAAAAATCCAGAAAAAATGATGTCCAAAAGATATTTAATAATAACACAATCAGCATCGTTGCAAGTGAGCAAAGTTACGTTATTCAAGAGTATTTTTTCCCTTTTTGTGGGTGCACGTAAGAATGTCCATTTGAGATAACAAAGTTGAAGGATTTTGCAAGGGAAACACAACTGCAAGCTTTTATGCCGGGCTACAAAAATCTCGAGTTATATGAATATCATTAGATCCACGTCTAATCAAGAAAACAAAAATGCAAGTTTCAGAAGCTTTCTGCACAAAAAAAAGATAAAATGCAAATTAGTTAAAAACATTTCCGTTTTTTGATGAGAATGAGATAAATGAAAACTTACGTTAGTAGAGATTTGACATGAAGAAGCGTTGGGGTCAGTTTTAAGGCACTCGGTTGGACCAATCAAGAACTCAATTTTATATTTAGCTGGAGCCAAAGCTTGAGTTTGAGCTTTTTTGATGCAATAAGTTTCTCGTAGTAAATGTTGCAATTTTGTGTGCTTGTTTAACACCCTTTTCATTCAACAAAATAACAGTTGGATCGTCAACAGGGATAGACTTCCACACAGAAGGCCTAGCAATGACAACACTAAAAAGACAAATTAAAAGCACAAAAACTTTCATATCTAGCTGTACCAGTAAGCATGTACGCACTCAGAATCAGCTATTAAGTTGACAACAGTTGGCAATCAAGCAGCTCAATCAGCAAATTTCCTCTCTAGCTGTATCAAGAAAACATTAAGCGCTCAAAACAGCTATTAAGCTGTCAACAGTTGGAAGTAAGCAAATGAGTGTTTGCTCACAACATGAAAAATCACCTATGAATTGATAGCCATACAAAAAGAGCGCATGATAAAAGATTTAAGTTGACAAAATGTACTTCATTTTAACTTTTGCTTCTGAATAAGCATTTAAGACAAAAAAAAGATTTCATTCTAATAAAAAACAGTCCATAATGATCAAAATTAAAACATCAGCTGTTTTGGTGATGAAAACACCAGAAAACTGGGAAACACGTGGTTAAGGATCAGAGTTGGACCGATCATTTTGATCATTTGGCTAAAGAATAACCAACGGAAGCGTTTCAATGAATCCCACTCTCTACTCACAGTCTAATGAAAATAGTAAAGCTAAAGTTTTAAGACAAAGAATTTATTTTGGTCATGCTAATTTCGTAAGAATGTAAATTCACATTAATTTTCTTTAGCGAACGAAACCGAAGAAATCTTTCATTATGTTTCGAATTTAGTCTATCCTAATTTCATGTATCGATTTTCATGAATAATCACAATATGGATTGTATTGACAGTTGGATTTTTTTAAATAAAAGGCATGGTAAGTACACTTTGTATATTGCATGAATGTTCGCAATTTGTCTTATAATTTACATGAAAAGGAAATTAAATTCAGATTAAATGTTGGTCATAATGAACTGCTAACTGTTAGAAAGCTGTAAGAGTTATAAAAAGTCTCGCCTAAACAATGGTTTTATATTTTTCATCGGTAGAAACGTTGAGGTGAAGGCAATCAACTTATCAACACCTTTATAAGAATCGTTGGAATTGGGATCTACATTGAAGAATTCATACTTTTCAAACCATTTCTTCTGTTTAATGCAATAAACATAGAATTTTCCGGGATTGTCGATCAGAATTATCTTATCATCTTCTGTATAAAGAGAAGTTAAGATTATGTGTTTAGCCGACAAATCTTCACCATCTTCAAATAGTTTAATCTTTTTGTATGAACGGGTTTCCATATTAAATTGGAAAAAATCCCTATCCGATGTGAAGACATAAAGAATTTTGTCCAAAATAGTCGCTTGGAATTCAAAATCATAATTATTATTGTATTTATTGAATTGTCTTGAATCCGTCGCTGGGAAAATACCAAAATATTGAGTTTCTCGACAAGTTTCTCCGATGTAGACAAATCCATCATTATATTCAACCAATAAATATGAGTTACTGGGAATTTCATCTCCAAGTGCAGTGGCTTTAGCATCCAAATAGCAGGAATATTGACTGAAAAATCAAAGTAAAATTAAGATTGAGACTAACTTGGTGATCTCTAAATGCAATAATAAAATCGTGACCCACTGTTAACCCTTTTCCTAGTTCCCTTAGATCGTACCGTTAGTAAAGTACGACAATACATTTGTAACATTCTGCGTGGATACATCACATCAATCCCATTCAAATTGTAGTCAGTAAATAATGTCTCAAATTATTCGCAAACTTGTTGAAACTTGAAAAACTTTGATGCAATCTTGAAAATTTGAACGACAAACAAAGAAATATACACTGCTCGTCAAAAATATAAGGCCACTTGATTTTTCTTTATAATTTTTGAAATAAAAGGTAAAAAAACCTGAACCTTATCAAAAATATAATAATTTGCGCAGACTAACCAAGAAAAAAAAATTGAAAAAAATCGAAGGGGAAAAAAATAGGGGAGAAATAAAAAATTTTGGTTCGTCAAAAGTATAAGGCCACTTATTAAATCCTATTTAATATTTAGTTTGAGCGCCATTTAATTTGATCACATCGAAGATTCTGTTGCTCATAGATGAGACAAGGTTCTGTAGATATTCAGGTTCGAATCCAAACCATGCATTTTGAATTGCATCCCATAATTCATCAATTTTATTGAATTGCCGCTGATTTGCATAAACTTTGCGCGCAATCAGTCCCCATAAATTTTCAATAGGGTTTAAGTCCGGGCTACATGCTGGCCAACTCAATACTTTCACTGAATTATCTTGAAAAAAAGTTTTGGTAGCATTTGAAACATGAATCCTGGCATTATCTTGTTGGAAAATCCAATGCATTTGTTTCAGCATTTGGAATCAGATTTTCTTCCAATACTTTTATGTAATCCAATGAATTCATTGACGAGGAAATTTTCACGATAGGAAGAACACCATTAAAACTGAATGCTCCCCACACCATAACTGATCCTCCTCCGAAGTTTCGCTTTGAAAAAACTTTTTGAAAAATCATGCCAATAGCACTTTAAACCAATTAGAAAGAGTTGAAAGAATTACTTAGAAATCGAAAATTAAGAGTAAAATCAAATGGCCTTATACTTTTGACGAGCAGTGTATAAAGAAAAAACTCAAGGATTTGAAAACTCAAGAAAAGAGTCTTGGTGTTATTAAAATGGAACATCAAGTAGCAAAGCGATTTAGCGTTTTAAAGAATAAACATACCTACGATCATCCTGAAAATTGACAATCAATTTATGAATTTTCGGGTAATAGGGTTTATAGTGCTCACTATCAAGCCTATAAAATGTCTTTTTGACCCAATCAACTCGGATACATCTTCTTCCAGTATTAAATAAAATATCTGAAATGCTTTCTCCATGAACGAATTGGGTTGGCATTGTTCTATCTTCAGTGAAATCACCAATCGGTAATGAAAATAGATCTTTATCAAATATATTTATCCGCAACTTTGAATGATCATCCAATTCTTGGATTGAGACGAAGAAGTTTTGTTTAGTACGATTGAATCCACAGTCACTCTTGGAGGAAAGGATTGAATCAAAGCTTCTTAGAGCCTTTATTAATTCATTTTTCTTAACCTTTGATAATCCAACAGGATCCATGAAAGACCAACGCACGAATTTCAATAGGCTTGAAAGGAATTCTTTTCTTGAATCAACATTCTTATTTACCCATTTCATGATTGATTGAAAAACTTGATACTCAGAGTAAATCATTAAATCTAATTTAAAAATATGTTCAACTGTTTCAACTGGATACTCCAGAAAAGTATCAGTAGCAGCGATTTTCAAGATATGGCGACAAATGAAGCTATTAACAGCTCCTGGAGTTATCAATTTGGAAGATTTTTTAATCTGAAGTAAGACAACTGGAAGATATTTTATGGTAAAATTATTGTGGAAATACTCAAAACAAGGTTTGAACAAAAGTTTGCTGATCATCAAATAATCAGCTGCTTCATAAAAACTTATCACATAATCCATTTGAATGATGAATAATTCTGTGTGAATCCAATTAAGAAGAGCATCAAAGGCATGCTCATCAAAATCTAGAGTCACTTTGTTTTCCTTTGATTCCAATTCATCGCTAGAAAACAATTTTCTAAAATAAGGCACAACTGAACAAATGAACTTTTTAGAGACACAATATTCACATCTTCTATTCACAATTATTAGTTCGTCACCACAATTCTGATCCACTTCATCCATTATAAAACACTAAGCAAAATAAAATAACTGAAACACACGAAAAATAGTCGATAGCGAAGTACTAATTTATTTTAAAAGCATAAAGTAAGTCTTGGAGTCATAAAATGTAAAGGTGTTCATTCATCTCACATGTTTTTACTGCTTACTATTTATAAGGGCGGGACTTACACGTTATGTTGCGTAAAGTCAAATAGTGTAAATCAAGTAGCCGTCGGACATTATCTGACTATCATCCAGAAGCCACAGGATCGAAGGATCGAGTCTATCTTTGGACCTCATGGTTTCTCCTCCCTTTCTCTCTTCTCTCTGTTAATTATTGTTGTCAAGTATAACTTATCGTAATATGAATATGTCAAATTATATTAACTTGTATAACTCGCTCATTTGCAAATAGTGCTCACGGCGCACACCTCAAAATGATTAAAAAACCAAAGAGTACATCACTCTGGAGAAATTAATATTTATAGGAATTTAATTTGGACAAGTTAATGGAAAAATTTAAGTCTTTTAATTTAACTCTTGAATCTGTTGGAAATATTAGTATAATTCATGTAATCATGTAGCTCGAAAAATGAAAAATTCATTGCAATCTCTGCATCAATACTTAAAGTTTGGTGAATAAGGCACATGTATTTCAAAGGTCACAAAACTTTCTTTTATACAATGGTTTGATATATTTTGTCTGTAAAAATGTTGAGGCGAAGGCAATTAGCTGATTGGCACGAGCATTGGAACTGTCATAATAAAAATTTACATTCATGCTTCGATACTTTTCAATCCATTTGTTCTCATTGATGAGGTAAACATGAATTTTTCCTGATGATTTATTGACCAAAATAACTTTGTCGTCCTTTGATTGTTGAGAAGTTAAGATTAAATCATTGAGACTCCATTTTTGCCCTTTGAAAGGATAACTCTTATTGAAGCTTCGAGTTTCGTGGTTGAATTGAATAAATTCGAGTTCCTCCGTCAATATATAAACAACTTTATCCAAAATAGTGGCATGGAAAGATTGATCAGGTTCTTCATAAGTACAGCACCAATGTGGAGGGCCAACTGGGAAAAGGCCAAACCACTTTTTCTCGTCTGTAGTTTTACCAATCGCAATATATTTGTCAACAGATTCAAGATACGTATCTTGGGTACCATATAAATTCGGTTTCGTATCTTTTTCTTCCAAATAGCAGGCCAAGGAGCTAGAAGATAAAAAGAGAAAGAGATTAGACGGATAATTTTTGAGTATTTTATACTGGTATCCAGATGAAAAGACTAAAAATAAATACGCTAATATTTACTTCAAGTTTTGTAGAAGTTGGTATTTTAAAGAAAAAGAATAATTTCGGAATCTAAACATAAATTAGTTGAGAAAATTAAACATAGCCATCATACAACCATGAATAGAGGTGTTTGATAAGACTTCTACCATATTTTATAAGCATTTTTCATCACATCGATAGCAAAAATTTCAGCATTTATGAACAAGTTTGATAATGATCGAAAAAATGAGCTACAAAAATCGTGAATGAACATTTAAAGCCTGGTTTCATGTTTTTCTAACATTTCTCAAAGGCTTTAAATTTTTGTTGAAAGTTTTTGTCAATGGATAAATTTGAAAGACCATCTATGATCTGAAACTCTAAACATACCCTGATTGCGTCAGAAACTTAAGGATGATATCGGTCAATTGACCATAGCGGTTATCATCATCTTCTTCCATTTCAAGCCATCGAAATGTCTTTTTACTCCAATCGATTCGGATACCTTTTCGTCCAGAATCAAATACAATATCTGAAATGTGTTCTCCAGGAATAAATCCAAGTGATATTGAGTCATCTCGAGTAAAATCACCGATCGGCAAACGAAATAATTCAGTATCAAACACATTTATTGTTAAATTTGAATCATCAATTCGGTCAATAGAAATGAAGAAGTTTTGTTTACTACGATTGAATCCATATTCACAATCAGGAGAGGTAATTGAATCAAGATTTGGCAAGCCTTTGATTAACTTATTACTCTTTATTTTGGTTACATCAACAGGATCCATGAAAGACCAGCGTACACAATTTAATAGCTTTGGAAGTAATCGTTTTCTAGAACCAGTCCTTTTATTCACCCATCTTATGATTGCTTCAAAAACTTGGTATTCAGAGTAAATCATTAAATCTAATTTGAGAATATGTTCAACCGTCTCGACTGGATATTGCAAGAAGATATTTGTATTGGCGATCAGCAAGAAATGGCGACAAATAAAGTTGCCAATAACTTCGGAATTGATCAACTTGGTATTTTTTGTAACTTTGCTCAAAATAACTGGAATATGTTCAATCTTAAAATTGTTCTGGAAATAATTAAGACATGGTTGAAACAAACGGTCACTTATCATCAAATGATCAGCTACTTCGAAGATATCGATAACGTCCTCCAGTTGAATTAAAAAAGACCCACAATGAATCCAATTGAGGATAGAATCGAAGTTATGTTCATCAAAATCTAGTTCCACTTTGTTTTCCTTTGGTTTCAACGAATCATCACAAAATATTTTTTCAAAATATGGCACAGCTGAACAGATGAACTTTTTAGAAACATAATAAACATTTTTCCTAACAACAATTTTTAATTCCTCATCCGTGCTTTGATCCATTTCGTCCAAAATTGGTTAAGAGAGATTACACAAACAACTTATCAAAACTTAAAAAATAAACAATTTTTATAGGTACAGATTAAATCCTTCTCACGGTAAATAGTTTGTTTGCATTTTCTCGTTAGAAACCGGACTTAGGTTACATATCCGCGGGCTCTTATCAAACCAGAAATCACTAAAAGTACCTTTCGGAAAACACAGCAAACACTAAAATACCATCGACCAAGCTACAAATGTGTCGATGTTTGAAAGAACGCATTTTTTAAACCTCGTCTCTTGAGGCTCGTAACTAATGAAGCTAAGAAACTATGGTAACCACAGTGTTGTTAGGTACTTTCTGGTTCATAATTTTCTACCGCCAAATTTAAAAAGGAGAAAGCAGGATTCGCATTTTGATTTTGTCGAGGCAATCAGAAAGTTTTCATTTTTTCTTTCAAATTTTCATCTCAATGCAATCTCGAAGTCTTAACTTTGATAACATTGAACTTTGAATTAAAAATTGAATGGATGGTGCCAAGTTAATTATAAACTAATAAATGTAACTTTAATAAAACAAGCTGAGCCCCCGATCATGGCTGATAGTAAATTTCTTTTCACTGAATACAATAAATTCAATCCACACTTAAAGACTCGAAAGCTATATACAAAAGCATTTCCAAAGAGAAAACTAAAAAATTTTCGTTCATTTTGAGAGTTTTACAGTTGAAGCACCAGATATTCAACTTACTCTTTGCTCGAAAGACAGTTTTACATATACTCCTAACCCAACAATAAACCATCAATCTGAATACAAAAAAAGTTTTTCCCCCAAAGTCACTAGTAAAAGATGCGGATTCTGCATTTTTCCCCCACCCTGATTAAACGCTAATTTCTCAGCAACCTGAATTACGAGAAAGCTCTGACTATTTTTCGTCCCTGAAGTTTAATCAGGGCTTTTATTCTAAGTAAAAATTTTCTTTAGAACCCGTTTAGTTTGGTCACAATCTTCCCACAAAAATTTCATAGTTTGACTTAGATACTTAGATAATCAGCTGCTTCATAGAAACTAATCACATAATCCATTTGAATGATGAATGAATCCGTGTGAATCCAAACAAGAAGAGCATCAAAGGCACGTTCATCAAAATCCCTAGCCACTTTGTTTTTTCTTGATTCCAATTCATCGCCAGAAAACAATTTTTAAAATAAGGCACAACTGAACAAATGAACAATTTTAGAGACACAATATTCACATCTTCTATTTACAATTATCAGTTCGTCATCACAATTCTGATCCACTTCATCTATTATTGTCTTAATATCATAAAGCATCAAATTAAAACAATGAAAATTATTCTCATGGTTGTTATGAGAGCATTCAAAATAATGTAACAAGCATATTTCATCCGAACACCTAGTATAATTATATTCATAAAAATTGAAAAATTTACACGATTCACTTTCTTTATTTTAGTTCTGATGAATAACACGCATAGTTTATAGTCAAGTAAAAATTCTTCTATACAAAGGTTTGATATTTTTCATCTGTAAAAACGTTGAAGTGAAGGCAATCAGCTCATTCGAATTTACATTGGAATTGCTGGAGCCAAAGTTTTCAATGTTGATTCGATATTTTTCAATCCATTTCTTCTGATTAATGAAGTAAACATAAAACTTTCCTGATGATTTATTGATCAAAATAACTTTGTCGTCCTTTGATTGATGAGAAGTCAAGATTAAATCGTCGAAATCCCATTCTTGGTCTTTGAAAGGATAACTCTTATTGAAGCTTCGAGTTTCGTGGTTGAATTGAATAAATTGGAGTTGTCTCGTCAATATATAAACAACCTTGTCCAAAACAGTGACATGGAAATTGCGCTGGTCATCATATTGTTTGAACCAACCTAGAGGAAGAGCTGGGAATCGACCATACCACCTTTTCTCGTCTCTAGTTTTAGCAATCACAATATATTGGTCAACAGATTCAAGTAGCAAACTCTCTTCAACTATAGTTGGTATGGACGGTTTACTATCTGTTGCCTCCAAATAGCAGCTAAAAGCGCTAAGGATTGAGAAAAGAATGAATAAAGGTATTAATTTAAAAATTGACTTTTGGCAGAATATAAAATTTGGGAAACCATTAATGAACTAATACACGAACTAACATAGAACCTACCTAAGATTGAAAAACTGGATGATGGTGTGATGCAATTTACTGTAATTGATAGTGTTAACTTTTGAGTCAAGCCATCGAAATGTCTTTTTACTCCAATCTATTCGGATGGCTTTTCGTCCAGAATCAAATAAAATATCTGAAATGTTTTCTCCATGAAAAAAATCAAGTGTCATTGTATTATCTTGAGTGAAATCACCAACCGGAAAACAAGATAATTCATTATCAAAAACGTTTAGCCCTAACTTTGCATCATCTAGCTTCTGGATGGAGACGAAGTAGTTTTGCTTGCTACGATTTAATCCATATTCACAATCAGAAGAGATGATTGAATCCTGATTTGACAAGCCTTTGATTAAGCCATCAAGACTACCATTTATTTTAGTTAAATCAACAGGATCCATGAAAGACCAACGCACACAATTCAATAGCTGTGGAAGTAATCCTTTTCTAGAATCTGCATTCTTATTCACCCATTTCATGATTGATTCAAAAACTTGATATTCCGAGTAAATCATCAAATTTAATTTGAGAATATATTCAACTGTCTCAACTGGATAATCCAAAAAAACATTTGTGTTAATAATCTTCAAGAAATGGCGACAGATAAAGTAGTCAATAGCCTCTGAATTGATCAACTTGGAAACTTTTGTAACTTGAGGTAAAACAACTGGAAGATGTTCAATGGTGAACTTTTCATGAAAATAAGAATTACAAGGTCTAATCAAAGTTTCATCTATCATCAAGTAATCAGCTAGATTGTAACACTTTATCACATTCTCCATTTGAACAATGAGTAAACCAGAGTGAACCCAGGTAAGAATTATATTGAAGACTTCTTCATCAAAATCAAGCACCACTTTGTTTTCCTTTGATTCCAGCAAATCACAGCAAAACATCTTCTCAAAGTAAGGCACAACTGAACAGATGAACTTTTTAGAAACATAAAATACATTTTTCTTAACAACAATTTTCAATTCCTCATCCAAATTTTGATTTTCTTCGCTCATGGTAATGAATGTAGCATTCAGGGGGAACAATATACAAACGCAAAAAATGGACAATTACCTATATATAATTGTGCATCAAAATAGAGAAACAGTTTACTGTGAGTTTCTTGTTTAAACTTTGCATTCGCTGCAGATAACAAAATACCGGGTTATTCAGAAGTTACGCTTCAACTTTTTTTCTTTATACATGCGCTATCTGTGCGAATTTTTTTGTAACTTTTTTAAACATTGATATCCGTTTCCTTAGGTTTAGTTTTCAACGGTTTTTGAGCGATTGTGAAAAAATGACTTATCAGAGGTTCCCTGTCCGTTTACCACACTAATCCTTTGAGTAAACAAAAGCTTTAAATGTTTTACAATTTTGGGAGGAAAATGAGCTTTTAATTTTCTTTAAATTTTAAGTTAGAGTCAATGTTAAGTGGTAATTAATTTTTTTGGTTAATCAAACCCCATCATATCAGTACAAAGGTCTAAGCATTCAGTTAATGAAATACATATACAGCATTATATAATACATATCTGCATAAAAATTTCTATTGTTTATTAAGTATTTTTCTAAATGTATCTTCGTCTCTGGTTTTTTGATAGATAACCTTATTGGTTTTTAATTTGATCGAGTCAAGTATAACATTTCAAATTGTTTTTATTGATTAATCGATGAATATAAATTTCACAAACCCCAAATTTCCCACCTCATAAAGTTAAATCATCTTTTTCTCATCCCGTTTTGACTCAAGTTTTAAATATTACTGTATCTACTGGGTCTCCTTAAAACAGTTGAAATAGCTTAGTTTCACGAAAGTTTGTAAATAAGTTAAATAGTTATTCAGTTAAATTGTTCCCGTCTCTACTCAGAATGTTGTTAAACCTTTTGCTCAGATTACCTAAGGAATTTTATTTCAACTAAATTTTTCATAAAATAGCAAGGACCATTCAATGATTATTTTGCGGATTTGTCATAATTGTTTGAATGACGAATAGAATCAGCATGAGAATTTATATTTAGCTTGAGTCAAAGCTTGAGTTTGAGCTTTTTTGATGGCAATAAGTTTCTCGTAGCAAATGTTGTTTTCATTTTTATTGCGATGTTCAATTCCCTTTTCAGTCAACAAGATAACAGTTGGATCGTCATAAGGGATAGACTTCCACACAGAAGGCCTAGTAACGACAACACTAAAAAGACAAATTAATAGCGCTAAAATTTCCTCTCTAGCTGTATCAAGAAAACATTAAGCGCTCAAAACAGCTATTAAGCTGTCAACAGTTGGAAGTAAGCAAATGAGTGTTTGCTCACAACATGAAAAATCACCTATGAATTGATAGCCATACAAAAAGAGCGCATGATAAAAGATTTAAGTTGTCAAAATATACTGCATTTCAACTTTTGTCTCTAAATAAGCATTTAAAACAAAAAAAGAGATTTCATTCTAATAAAAAACAGCCCATAATGAACAAAAATTAAAACACCAGCTGTTTTGGTGGTGAAAACACCAGAAAACCGGGAAACACGTGGTTAAAGATCAGAATTAGACCGATCATTTTGATCATTTGGCTAAAGAATAACCAACGGAAGAGTTTCAACGAATCCCACTCTCTACTCACAGTCTAATGAAAATAGTAAAGCTAAAGTTTTAAGACAAAGAATTTATTTTGGTCATGTTAGTTTCGTAAGAATGTAAATTCACATTAATTTTCTTTAGCGAACAATCGAAGAAATTCATTCTTTCATTATGTTTCGAATTTAGTCTATCCTAATTTCATGTATCGATTTTCATGAATAATCACAATATGGATTGTATTGACAGTTGGATTTTTTTAAATAAAAGGCATGGTAAGTACACTTTGTATATTGCATGAATGTTCGCAATTTGTCTTATAATTTACATGAAAAGGAAATTAAATTCAGATTAAATGTTGGTCATATTGAACTGCTAACTGTTAGAAAGCTGTAAGAGTTATAAAAAGTCTCGCCTAAACAATGGTTTTAAATTTTTCAGAAACGTTGAGGTGAAGGCAATCAACTTATCAACACCTTCATAAGAATCGTTGGAATTAGGATTTACATTTAAAATATTATATTTTTCAAACCATTTCTTCTGCTTAATGCAATAAACATAAAATTTTGCGGTGCATCTATCGATCAGAATTATCTTATCATCTTCTGTATGAAGAGATGTTAAGATTATGTGTTTAACCGGCAAACAATCAGCATCTTCAAATAGTTTAATCTTTTTGTATGAACGGGTTTCCATATTAAATTGGAAAAAATCCTTACGCGATGTGAAGACATAAAGAATTTTGTCCAAAATAGTCGCATGGAAGTCAAAATCATAATGATTATCGTATTTATTGAATTGTCTCGAAGTAGTCGCTGGGAAAATACCAAAATATTCCCTTTCTCCTTCAGTTTCTCCGATGTAGACAAATCCATCATTATATTCAACCAATAAATATGAGTTACTGGGAATTTCATCTCCAAGTGCAGTAGCTTTAGCATCCAAATAGCAGGAATATTGACTGAAAAATCAAAGTAAAATTAAGATTGAGACTAATTTGGTGATCTCTAAATGCAATAATAAAATCGTGACCCACTGTTAACCCTTTTCCTAGTTCCCTTAGATTGTACCGTTAGTAAAGTACGACAATACACTTGTAACATTCTGAGTGAATGTATCACATCAATCCCATTCAAATTGTAGTCAGTAAATAATGTCTCAAATTATTCGCAAACTTGTTGAAACTTGAAAAACTTTGATGCAATCTTGAAAATTTGAACGACAAACAAAGAAATATATAAAGAAAAAACTCAAGGATTTGAAAACTCAAGAAAAGAGTCTTGGTGTAATTAAAATGGAACATCAAGTAGCAAAGCGATTTAGCGTTTTAAAGAATAAACATACCTACGATCATCCTGAAAATTGACAATCAATTTATGAATTTCCGGGTAATAGGGTTTATAGTGCTCACTATCAAGTTTAGAAAATGTCTTTTTGACCCAATCAACTCGGATACATCTTCTTCCAGCATCAAACAAAATATCTGAAATGTTTTCTCCATGAACGAATTCAGTTGACATTGTATTATCTTTAGTGAAATCGCCGATCGGTAAACAAAATAAATCTTTATCGAATATATTTATCCGTAACTTTGAATTAGCTAATTTCAGGAGTGAGACGAAGAAGTTTTGTTTAGTACGATTGAATCCACAGTCACTCTTGGAGGAAAGGATTGAATCAAAGCTTCTTAGAGCCTTTATTAATTCATTTTTCTTAACCTTTGATAATCCAACAGGATCCATGAAAGACCAACGCACGAATTTCAATAGGCTTGAAAGGAATTCTTTTCTTGAATCAACATTCTTATTTACCCATTTCATGATTGATTCAAAAACTTGATATTCAGAATAATCCATTAAATCTAATTTGAGAATATGTTCGATTGTTGCAACTGGATAATCCAAGAAAACATCAGTGTTGGCAATCTTTAAGAAATGGCGGCAGATGAAGTAGTCAATAACTTCTAAATTGATCAACTTGGTAGTTTTTGTAACTTTGCTTAAAATAACTGGAATATGTTCAATGGTAAAATTATTGTGGAAATAATTAAGACATGGTTTAAACAAACGTTGACTTATCATCAAATAATAAGCTGCTTCATAGAAACTAATCACATAATCCATTTTAATGATAAATATTTCTGTGTGGATCCAGTTAAGAAGAGCATCGAAGGCACGCTCATCAAAATCTAGAGTCACTTTGTTTTCCCTTGATTCCAATTCATCACCTGAAAACAATTTTTTAAAATAAGGTACAACTGAACAAATGAACTTTTTTGACACACAATATTCACATCTTCTATTCACAATTTTCAGTTCTTCGTCACAAACTTGATAGACTTCAGACATAATGAAACACTGAGAAAATAAAATCACCAAAACACATGAAAAATAGTCGATAGCGAAGTACTAAAAAAATATTTTAAAAGCATAAAGTTAGTCTTGGAGTCATAAAATGTAAATTGTGTTTACATCAAGAAGTGTTCATTCAGCTCAGATGTTTTTACTGCTTACTATTGATAAGGGCGGGACTTACACGTTATGTTGCGTAAAGTCAAATAGTGTAAATCAAGTAGCCGTCGTATGCCATCAATATTAGTATAAACTATGTTATTCAGATGATGGGTAAGTTTCTTAAGGAACTTAACCGATTAAATCTTGAAACATGTTTCGAGTGCAAAGAATTATCATCTTAACATTCATCAATTCTAAGTTCAAGTTGTGCTTTCTATTCATTTGATCTCTCTGCTATTGAGATTTGAAGGTGACGTGACAGTACTATCCATTTTCATTATTGTTAACGAATAATTTTGTAAATAATAAAAGAGTTTATTTTAAATTATTATAATAATCATAATCATATGCATAAAAATTGGGAATAAACTCGAAAAATAAAAATTCATTGCAATTTCTGCACCAACACTTAAAGTTTGGTGAATAAGGCACAAGTATTTCAAAGGTCACAAAACTTTCTTTTATACAATGGTTTGATATATTTTGTCTGTAAAAATGTTGAGGCGAAGGCAATTAGCTGATTGGCAGGAGCATTAGAACTGTCAGAATAAAAATTTACATTCATGATTCGATACTTTTCAATCCATTTCTCCTGATTAATGAGGTAAACATGAATTTTTCCTGATGATTTATTGACCAAAATAACTTTGTCGTCCTTTGATTGTTGAGAAGTTAAGATTAAATCATTGAAACTCCATTTTTGCCCTTTGAAAGGATAACTCTTATTGAAGCTTCGAGTTTCGTGGTTGAATTGAATAAATTCGAGTTCCTCCGTCAATATATAAACAACTTTATCCAAAATAGTGGCATGGAAAGATTGATCAGGTTTTTTGTCGAAATAGCACCAATCTGGAGGTACAACTGGGAAATGACCGCACCACTTTTTCTCGTCTTCAGTTTTACCAATCGCAATATATTTGTTAACAGATTCAAGAAACACACCATGGGTAGAATATAAATTCGGTTTAGTATCTTTTTCTTCCAAATAGCAGGCCAAGGAGCTAGAAGATAAAAAGAGAAAGAGATTAGACGAAGAATATTTGAGTATTTTATACTGATATACAGATAAAAAAGACTAAAAAGTAAATAAATACACTAATATTTACTTTAAATTTTGTAGAAGTTGCAATTTTAAAGAAAAATCATATTTTCGGAATCTAAACAGAAAATTAATTGAGATGATTATACAACTATGAGTAGTGGTTTTATGATATGACTTCTATCATATAAGCATTTTCCATCACATCGATAGCAAAAATTTTAGCATTTATGAAGAAGTTTGATAATGAAATACAAAAATCGTGAATGAACATGAAGTTCTTTTCATGTTTTTCTAACATTTCTCAAAGGCTCTAAAATTTTTGGTGAAATTTTTTGTGAATGGATAAATTTTGAAAGACAATCTAAGATCAGGGACTTTAAACATACCCTGATTGCGTCAAAAACTTAACGATGATATTGGTCAATTGATTATAGCGGTTTTCATTATCGCCTTCCATATCAAGCCATCGAAATGTCTTTTTACTCCAATCTATTCGGATACCTTTTCGTCCAGAATCAAATACAATATCTGAAATGTTTTCTCTAGGAATAAATCCAAGTGATATTGAGTCATCTTGAGTAAAAGCACCGATCGGCAAACGAAATAATTCAGTATCAAACACATTTATTGTTAAATTTGAATCATCAATTCGGTCAATAGAGATGAAGAAGTTTTGTTTACTACGATTGAATCCATATTCACAATCAGGAGAGATAATTGAATCAAGATTTGACAAGCCTTTGATTAACTTGGCATTCTTTATTTTAGTTACATCAACAGGATCCATGAAAGACCAGCGTACACAATTTAATAGCCTTGGAAGTAATCGTTTTCTAGATCCAGTCCTTTTATTCACCCATCTTATGATTGCTTCAAAAACTTGGTATTCAGAGTAAATCATTAAATCTAATTTGAGAATATGTTCAACTGTTTCAACTGGATATTGCAAGAAGATATTTGTATTGGCGATCAGCAAGAAATGGCGACAAATAAAGTTGTCAATAACTTGTAAATTGATCAACTTAGTAGTTTTTGTAACTTTGCTTAGAAAAAGTGGAATATGTTCAATGTTAAAATTGTCCTGGAAATATTTAAGACATGGTTTAAACAAACGGTCACTTATCATCAAATGATCAGCTACTTCGAAGATATCGATAACGTCCTCCAGTTGAATTAAAAAAGACCCACAATGAATCCAATTGAGGACAGAATCGAAGTTATGTTCATCAAAATCTAGTTCCACTTTGTTTTCCTTTGGTTTCAACAAATCATCACAAAATATTTTTTCAAAATATGGCACAACTGAACAGATGAACTTCTTAGAAACATAATAAACATTTTTCCTAACAACAATTTTTAATTCCTCATCCGTGCTTTGATCCATTTCGTCCGTGATAAATTGGTTAAGAGATATTACACAAAAACTTATCAAAACTTTAAAAACAAACAAATTTTATAGCTACAACTGTAATCCTTCTCATATTAAACAGTTTGTATTTTATTGTTAGAATCCGCACTTTGGTTAAAATATCCGCGAGCTCTTATCAAACCAGAAATCACTAAAAGTAACTTTCAGTAAACACATAAAACACTAAAATACCATCGACCAAGCTACAAATGTGTCGATGTTTGAAAGAACGCATTTTTTAAACCTCGTCTCTTGAGGCTCGTAACTAATGAAGCTAAGAAACTATGGTAACCACAGTGTTGTTAGGTACTTTCTGGTTCATAATTTTCTACCGCCAAATTTAAAAAGGAGAAAGCAGGATTCGCATTTTGATTTTGTCGAGGCAATCAGAAAGTTTTCATTTTTTCTTTGTAAATTTTAATCTCAATGTAATCTCGAAGTCTTAACTTTGATAACATTGAAATTTGAATTAAAAATTGAATGGATGGTGCCAAGCTAATTATAAACTAATAAATGTATACAATGTAACTTTAATAAAATATTAATAAATAAAGCTCTCAATTCAGGTTCACTGTATCTACTGTCATCGTTCATCCTTTAATTAACTTAACATACTAACATTAAATACAAGTTTCGTATAAACTGTCATCGATCTTAAGATAATCAGCTGCTTCATAGAAACTAATCAGATAATCCATACGAATGATGAATAATTCTGTGTGAATCCAGTCAAAAAGAGCATCGAAGGCACGCTCATCAAAATCTAGAGTCACTTTGTTTTCCCTTGATTCCAATTCATCGCCAGAAAACAATTTTTAAAATAAGGCACAACTGAACAAATGAACAATTTTAGAGACACAATATTCACATCTTCTATTCACAATTATCAGTTCGTCATCACAATTCTGATCCACTTCATCTATTACTGTCTTAATATCATAAAGCATCAAATTAAAACAATGAAAATTATTCTTATTGTTGTTATGAGAGAATGTCAATTGTGTCAATTCTAAATAATGTAACAGGAATATTTCATCCGAACACCTTGTATAATTATTATTCATTCATAAAAATTGAAAAATTTACACGATTCACTTTCTTTATTTTAGTTCTGATGAATAACACGCTTAGTTTATAGTGAAGTAAAAATTCTTCTATACAAAGGTTTGATATTTTTCATCTGTAAAAACGTTGAAGTGAAGGCAATCAGCTCATTCGAATTTACATTGGAATTGCTGGAGCCAAAGTTTACAATCTTGATTCGATATTTTTTTATCCATTTTTTCTGATTAATGAGGTAAACATAAAACTTTCCTGATGATTTATTGACCAAAATAACTTTGTCGTCGTTTGTTTGATGAGAAGTCAAGATTAAATCGTTGAAATTCCATTTCTTGTCTTTGAATGGTTCACTTTTATTGAAACATTTAGTTTCGCAATCGAATTGAATAAATTGGAGTTGTCTCGTCAATATATAAACAACCTTGTCCAAAATAGTGACATGGAAAGTACGCTTGTCATCGTAATTTGTCCAACCTATGGGAAGAGCTGGGAATCGACCATACCACCTTTTCTCGTCTCTAGTTTTACCAATCACAATATATTGGTCAACAGATTCAAATAGCAAACTCTCTTCAATGATAATTGGTGAAGACGGTTTACTATCTGGGGCTTCCAAATAGCAATGAAAAACGCTAAGGATTGAGAAAAGAATGAATAAAGGTATTAATTTAAAAATTGACTTTTGGCAGAATGTAAATTTTGGGAAACCATTAATGAACTAATACATGAAAAAACACATAGAACCTACCTAAGATTGAAAAACTGGGTGATGATGTGATGCAATTTCTCGTAATTGATTTCCTCAACTTTTGAGTCAAGCCATCGAAATGTCTTTTTACTCCAATCTATTCGGATACCTTTTCGTCTAGAATCAAATAAAATATCTGAAATGTTTTCTTCGTGAAAAAAATCAAGTGTCATTGTATTATCTTGAGTGAAATCACCAATCGGAAAAAAAGATAATTCATTATCAAATACGTTTACGCGTAACTTTGAATTAGCTAATTTCAGGAGTGAGACGAAAAAGTTTTGTTTAGTACGATTGAATCCATATTCACAATCAGAAGAGATAATTGAATCCAGATTTGACAAGCCTTTGATTAAGCCATCAAGTCTACCCTTTATTTTAGTTACATCAACAGGATCCATGAAAGACCAACGCACACAATTCAATAGCTGTGGAAGTAACTCTTCTCTTGAATATTCTTTGCTCACCCATTTCATGATTGATTCAAAAACTTGATATTCAGAGTAAACCATCAAATCTAATTTGAGAATATATTCAACTGTCTCAACTGGATAATCCAAGAAAACATTTGTGTTAATAATCTTCAAGAAATGGCGACAGATAAAGTAGTCAATAGTCTCTGAATTCATAAACTTGGAAACTTTTGTAACTTGAGGTAAAACAATCGGAAGATGTTTAATGGTGAACTTTTCATGAAAATAAGAATACCAAGGTCTAAGCAAAGTTTCATCTATCATCAAGTAATCAGCTAGATTGTAACACTTTATCACATTATCCATTTGAAGGATGAGTAAACCAGAGTGAATCCAGTTGAGAATTATATCGAAGATTTCTTCATCAAAATCGAGTTCCACTTTGTTTTCCTTTGATTCCAATAGATTGCTACAAAACATTTTCTCAAAGTAAGGGACAGATGAACAGATGAACTTTTTAGAAACATAAAATACATTTTTCCTGACAATAATTTTCAATTCCTCATCCAAATTTTGACTGTCTTCGCTCATGGTAATGAATGTAGCATTCAGGGGGAACAATATACAAACTTATAAAATAAGACAATTACCCATATACTGGGTGTTAGAAAATCAATTAGACCTGTTTGAATACAAATTGCTTGAAGAGGTTGCAGGGTCAAAGTTTTCAATGGTCTTGCTCTATAGCCGAAGGTAGTTGACAGGTAGCCGAACTTAGATGGCAGCGCTGTTCCGTTTCCGCTTCTAAAGGCTGTATTCAAAAATTTTGACCTTTTACTTTGAGCCTGTTTTCGACTATTTCTAGTTTGATTTTACTCTGATTTTTTTGTGTACGCTACCTATGAATTGATATTCATGCAAAAACAGCACATGATAAAAGATTTAAGTTGACAAAATGTACTTCATTTTAACTTTTGCTTCTAAATAAGCATTTAAAACAAAAAAGATACTTCTTTCTAATTCAAAACAGCCCATAATGAACAAAAATTAAAACACCAGCTTTTTTGGTGGTGAAACACCAGAAAACGGAAAAAGGTGAAAATAATCAATCGAGATGCCGCCTAATGATGTCATCTTCAAACCTCGATTCGCTCGAGTGTGGAAGCACTAAAGGGTAAAATAAAAATGATTTACATCACTCCTTTTAATCATTTTCATTACGACCTGCCACCTCAATACAATACTACGATTTAAGTGTTTACTAGCAGTTAGAAGAGTCAACGTAAAGCGATTTTACAATAACAACCAGGATGTTTACATGTTTTATGGTTTAATATTGTTTTCTGTTGTATTACTACTGTTATTAACATCTTTTTATTGTTGTCTTCTGATGTGATTTAAACCATAACTTAATTGCTGTTTTGCAGAACTTGAATCTTTTGAATATCAATAACTTACAATGGTTATGGAAACCATGGATTGAAAACCAGCTTAGCTTTGACATTTTATCCTTCTTATATCTTTTTCCTTAATTTTATAATTTTACTTACCTTGAAACTTTCATTAAAACTAACAACTGGCAAAAGATATTGGCCAATTTTTTTAAATCAATTGAACTTGGATGCATTTCAATAATAAAATTATATATTTATTTTACTTTCAATCTTCTTTGATAATAGGAATACAAAAAACAATGGATAGTTAGAAAGAGGTTGAACAAGTCATTTGTCTTTGAGATTATTTAGCAGGAGCACAAGAGGCTTGGGTGATTTGTGCATTATCAGATCCTGGTCGAACCCAGAAAACATAGGTACACAATTCAGGGATTGCCTGGATAAAGAGAAAGATACAAGGAATTAGATTAATTATAATTTTGAAAGAGTTAATCTTTGTAGGTATAAATTAAAAGTGAAAACTTACATTAGCGGAGACTTCACATGAAGCAGCATTGGCATCTGATTTAACACATTCAGTCTTACCAATCAAGAATTTAACTTCATAGTTCATTCCAGCAACAACTTGGCTTTTAGCTTCTTTAATGGTGATCAGTTTCTTGTAATACAAATTGTTGGCAATCTTGTTGTGATGCTCAACACCTTTAGCAGCCAATTGAATAACAGTTGGATGATCAACAGAAATTGAACTCCATCCTCCGTCCATTTCAATGGCAAAGACAGCTCCGATTAAACAAACTGCGAATAAGATGAATTTCATTTTGTAGGGATTTTTTGCACGAGTGTTAAAAGTGAATGGCTTAAAGTTAACTGGTTCAATGTTGGAATAGATGTGAATTTCAAGTGGAAAAGAGTCAATGTTATATACACGAAAGAAGGTGTGATTTTATCACGATCCAGTTTCACTGAATGATACTGGAAGCCGGAAAAATTCAATAGCAATGACAACAATAGAATAGCAGAAGACCAACGTGAAATTGTAAACATGATAAATTGCAGATAAATTGCGCTAATTGCTAGTAAAAAATTTCCTTAGTTTTTTTCAACTAATTTGAAGCAACGACTTTGTCAGGATGATTATCTTATCGAAATCAATCGCCTATTTTCAGCCAATAAAGAGTGCGAAGCATGAAGCTGGAACTACCGAGGTGGTAAATTTGCAACAAGTTGATTAATTGATTGATTAAAAATTAACTAGAAATAAAATATTACAAAAATACTGATCAATATTTCCATTTTAGTTTCTTACCTGGAAAAGGGATTTATCTTGAATTAGCAAGAGAAACGCAATAAAATCAACTGATTTAGTTGAGTCGAGCTATTAGCAACAGCTTTCAGGGGGTTTTATGGTTGTTTGTTGATCAGTTGATTATGATAGACATGGTTTGGTAAAGTCCTGAATAGGATTGCACTGATTTAATTGAGAAGTCAGTCAATCACAGGAATGGATAGAAACAGATCACATTAGATTAGATTAACTATTATTTTGAATAACAAATTGAGTTACTCAAACGGTTCACCCAAACAGATAAAGTTTGGTCAATCATTTTATCAATGCCTAACTAATAGCTAGTACAAAAACAAATATTACCTTTTGAAAAAAGTTCATAAGCATAAATTTTGAAAGACTACGAAAGACATGAGAGACAAAGTCTTGTCTCCGAGGTTAGATGAAATGACTGAAAGAAAACACTTATTTTCAGCTTTTGAATGATTTGGTTAGATGAATATTCCAATTTCAATTTATTTTATTGATGCTGATGCAGAATAAATAAGTGCGATCCGTCAATTCGTCAGGTAAATTTAGATTTAAATTTCTATAAGTATCTTAAGCCATTAAGTGAATGCAACTTAAAATTAACAAGAAGAAAGAAAAATTTATTATTAATCTTACAAATCGTCAAATAAAGGTTCTAGTACGTATCATTTAGTTTTCAAACCGTAAGAAATTCTTGTGGAACGATAAATCATTGATAAGAAACTGTATGTTAATGAAAAACAATGATGTTTAACAGATATTTTATAATGAAATAATCAGCATTGTTCAAGAGTATTTTTTCCCTTTTATTGTGGATGCACATAAGAATGTCCATTTGAGATAACAAAGTTGAAGGATTTTGCAAGGGAAACACAACTGCAAGCAACTTCATGCCGGGCTACAAAAATCTCGAGTTATATGAATATCATTAGATCCACGTCTGATCAAGAAAACAAAAATGCATGTTTCAGAAGCTTTCTGCAAAAAAAGAGATAAAATGCAAATTAGTTAAAAACATTTCCTTTTTTTGCTGAGAATGAGATAAATGAAAACTTACGTTAGTAGAGATTTGACATGAGGCAGAGTTGGGGTCAGTTTTAAGACACTCGGTTGGACCAATCAAGAACTCAATTTTATATTTAGCTGGAGCCAAAGCTTGAGTTTGAGCTTTTTTGATGGCAATAAGTTTCTCGTAGTAAATGCTGTTGTCATTTTTATTGCGATGTTCAATTCCCTTTTCAGTCAACAAATTAACAGTTGGATCGTCAACAGGGATAGACTTCCACACAGAAGGCCTAGCAATGACAACACTAAAAAGACAAATTAAAAGCACAACAAATTTCATCTCTAGCTGTACCAGTAATTTAGTACCTCAGAATCAGCTATCAGCTAGTTGAAAACAGTTGGCAATCAAGCAAATTAATACTTGCTCACAACATGAAAAATCACCTATGAATTGATAGCCATACAAAAAGAGCACATGATAAAAGATTCAACTCAACAATATGTACCTTATTTTAACTTTTGCTTCTAAATAAGCATTCAAGACAAAAAAGACACTTCATTCTAATGCAAAACAGCCCATAATGAGCAAAAATTAAAAAATAAAATAAGACCAGCTGTTTTGGTTATTAAACCAAAAAAACCGGGAGAAAAGTTGAAAATAATCAATCGAGATGGCGCCCAATGATGTTGATAATTTTGTCTTCAAATCTCTATTCGCTCAACTTGAGCGGCTCAAATATCGAAGTAATCGAGATTACAATTAAACTGATTTCCATCACTCCTTTTAATAATTTTTATTACGACCTGCCACCTCAATACTATACTTTGATTTAAGTTTTTACAATAACAACCAGGATGTTTACATGTTTTATTGTTTAATATTGTTTCCTGACTAATTGTTAACATCTTTTTATTGTTGTCTTCTGATGTGATATAAAGTATAACTTAATTGCTGTTTTGCAAAACTTGAATCTTTTGAATATGAATGACTTACAATGGTTATTGAAACCATGGGTTGAAAACCAGCTAAGGTTCATCATTTTTGTGCAAAACAGAGTAAAATCTGTTCTAACATTCAATAGTTAAGTTAAATCAGCAAACAATCAAAACGAATTAATTGAATGGTTTGATTAAGTCTTTATTGAAAAATGAAGCTATTCAAAGAGCAAAACAGTTTGAATCAGTAATTTAATCACTTGCTACTTAACTCATGAAAGTGGATTACAAAACAATTATGCCTGAGTTACAAAACAGAGTTTGATGCCGTAATATTCATTGTTGCTAACATTTGATCAACAGATAGACTGCGATTAATGGATAGTGTGACATTGAATAAATCAAAAATCTAATAGCATGGAATGTTTATAATCTGTTCGTTGGATAATGACATTATGATGTGATAAACAACAAGAAATGGTGCAATCGAGATCATTAAAGCATTCAGATTGTTCAATGAACTCAGACGAAACATGAAACCTAATATTGGATTTTCATGAACCTTTGATAATCTAAACACTAAATTTTGCAGTTCTTTTCAGTGATTTCAACTATTAAAAGTGTCAAGGTATTGGCCGATTTTTTGAAATGAATTGAACTTGGATGCATTTCAATAATAAAATTATATATTTGTTTTACTTTCAATCTTTTTTGATAATAGGAATACAAAAAACAATGGATAGTTAGAAAGAAACTGCATGTTAATGAAAACACGCAATTGAAGATGAGATGCATTTAATCAATAACTGGAAAGATAGTCAGCACAATTTAAGTGTCAATTAGATGTGTATTTCAAGAGCATCTATAGCTTCATTAACGTGGATTCCTTGGAAATTTACATTTAAAAACAAGAAAAGGTTGAACAAGCCATTTGTCTTTGAGATTACTTAGCAGGACCACAAGAGGCTTGGGTGATTTGTGCATTATCAGATCCTGGTTGAACCCAGAAAACATAGGTACACAATTCAGGGATTGCCTGGATAAAGAGAAAGATACAAGGAATTAGATTAATTATAATTTTGAAAGAGTTAATCTTTGTAGGTATAAATTAAAAGTGAAAACTTACATTAGCGGAGACTTCACATGAAGCAGCATTGGCATCTGATTTAACACATTCAGTCTTACCAATCAAGAATTTAACTTCATAATTAATTCCAGCAACAACTTGGCTTTTAGCTTCCTCAATGGAGATTAGCCTCTTGTAATACAAATTGTTAGCAATCTTGTTGTGATGCTCAACACCTTTAGCAGCCAATTGAATAACAGTTGGATGATCAACAGAAAGTGAACTCCATCCTCCTGGCATGGCGAAGACAACTCCGATTAAACAAACTGCGAATAAGATGAATTTCATTTTGAAAGGATTTCTTTGAACGAGTATTTAAAAGTGAATGGCTTAAAGTTAACTGGTTCAATGTTGGAATAGATGTGAATTTCAAGTGGAAAAGAGTCAATGTTATATAGACAAAAGAAGGTGTGATTTTATCACGATCCAATTTCAATAAATGATACTGGATACTGGAAAAATTCAATGGCAATGCGAGAATAGCAAGGGACCAACGTGAAAATTGTAAACATGAATCGATATGATGTTCAAAGATCAGCAGATAAATTGTGCTAATTGTTACTAAAAATTTTCCTTTGTTTTTCTTTTGTTTCCAACTAAAAGCAATGACTTTGCCAGGTTGATTATCTTATCGGCAACAATCACCTATTTTGATTCAATAAAAAGTGCAAAGGACAAAACTGGAACTAACGCGATGGTAACTCTTTAACAAGTGAACGACAAATTAAGATTTAACTAGAAATGAATAAAGAGAAGAATTAAATATTACAAAAAAGCAGATCAATATTTACACATGAAAATAGATTCTTACCTGATAAAGGGATGTATCGTTAATCAGAAACGCAATAAAATCAACTGATTTAGTTGAGTCGAGCTATTAGCAACAGTTTTCAGGGGGTTTTATGGTTGTTTGTTGATCAGTTGATTATGATTGACATGGTTTGGTAAAGTCCTGAATAGGATTGCACTGATTTAATTGAGAAGTCAGTCAATCACAGGAATGGATAGAAACAGATCACATTAGATTAGATTAACTATTATTTTGAATAACAAATTGAGTTACTCAAACGGTTCACCCAAACAGATAAAGTTTGGTCAATTGTTTCATCGCAATTGGCTATTATTTTGTGTCTGCCTTTTCAACTATATTAAAATACTTGATGGTTAGGAATACAAGATTTGCGATTCATTGGTCAAGTGATTGAAACTATTTTAATCACACCAGTGCAATCATAATCTAGAATTACCATTTATCTTGCTAACTTGTGCATTTTTCGTGAAATTATTAAACTAATGGTCAACAAAAAATTCTGCTTTCCTTTGCTTTAGTCCATTCTTTATACCTTTTCGTCTATCTCTAAGCTTGGTGTAAACTATGCATGTGTGTGCTTGGTGTGATTAATGTGTGAGTGTTTGGTGAAAGTGGCTAGGTTGTTGTAACGGGTCAACTGTACAATTATTTATATATTTTACACTTGAAAGTTTCTTTCTACTTGTTTTTTCTGTGAAACATTTTAATCCAGCATTTTGTTTCTCAGGTCTGTGCGTTTCATGTTCAATGCTCAGTCTTGATCAGTTTACATTTTCCTGGCTCTACTCTGCTTACAACTGGCTATTTACACATGTATATACACATTTGTATAGTGAATCGTATATACACATAATAAGATAACTAGGAGACTGTATGAGCTTCCGGTTCAATCTTAATTACAAATGGACCCTCGGGTTGATTACAACTGGGACCCTCGGCGCTTGCAGTTGACTCTTCAGGAGTCCGTGATACTTCCGTTGTTTCGTGCTCATGCTCGTGGTGCTTGTGCTTATGGTGAAATGGTTGCAATGAGAATCTTCTATGAGTACCTTTACGGCCACCTCTTCTTTTGGATATGTGCGGATTGTCTTTCCGCATTGTTTTATTGCGTAAAATCTGTAATTGGGTGTAAACTCGACGAAGTTCAGACTGGTTTTCATTTAAAGTTGATGGATGGATTCACAAGTAATGGTATTTCCAATGAGAAAAGACAAAGAGATTAGTAGACGAACCAGTGGACCGACAAGGAATGCCATTGATTTTTGAAATCACCAAAAAGATAATGTTTTTGTTGTTGTTGTTAATGATTATGAACAATGAAATGGCAAATTGAAAGTTATGATTGAGCAGCAGCAGAAACCATTGAAACCAAGCAAATGATGATATGAAAAATGAGGAGAGAAAACAAAAGATGATAATGGTTAGTAAAGGTTAACATTATTTTATCCTGAAATAGAGAGCATTTCAACATTGTTGGCTTACACGATTAAATCGATTCTTATCAATTTAAAAATTTATATGAAAATCAGAAAATAAGTTGATTCCTTTTCCAAATGTTATGCTTTTGACGGTTCATTCTGTCAACGCAATTTCCAGCTATTCATTACTTTCAAGTCTGCATTACATCTATTACTTTCAAGCATTTCTCTAGCAAAAGTATAATTTGAATCTTACAATGTTTATTTTTGTATAAAAAGGTTATTATAATAAACCTTTGGCCCTATTTCATTTGGAAATGTCATCTCTATCTAAACATTGACTTTGAACACAGAAAAGAGTAAAATTAAAGTGATCGTTTTAAGCCTGCTTTAGACATTTTTTTTGCATTCAATTTCAACTTGATGTTCATGATCCATATTGAGCATAAACTAGCATTTACTGCTTAGAAAAGTTTGAGAATAAAAATTCTGAACCATATCTATCATGACACTCATTATTTTCCTTTTCTATTTTATCTTCAAGAAACTGTCAACTCTTGGATCAAAGCAAAAACATGTAAAATCGTCACATTTTCATTACTCATTTTAACTTTAATTTTGAGAATCATTTTGGATACGTTTTCTTGAAATGGCTAAATGAAAACATCAACAACATTTATAATGAGCCAATAAAATGAAGTTATTATCATATTTACCCTGATATCTTCTGGATCCATATCTGCCAAATTTATATCACCAATATCAACCTCACCATTGCTTAATATTGCTGCGTGAAGCTTCATCACTTTAGAGACTCTATCACGTCCCTCAGCGGTAGAAAAATAACGAGAACGATTACGATAACTGGCCAAAGGACGGTTATGGAACCATATCTGAAATGGACAGAAGATAAGAGTTAAACAGAGAAAGTTATGGTTGCCAATTATAACATTTCAAAATGATTCCATGACTTGATTGGATGAGAATGGAATGAAATTGATGAGCGAAACAAAAGCTTGCTCGACAGAACCTGAGAAAGTGAAAGACTGAATATGAGAAGAACCAGAAAATGAATGAATCAGCGGAAAAAAATTAGGTATTCTTTGTGTTTCTTTGAGACTCTTTTGGGATCTTTGCTAATGAAAACCAGTTTTATAAACCAATGTTGGCTTGAATTAGACTTCCTGGGATGTTTGATTAACTAACAAATTATGATAAATAATTAATGAAACGAAATGAATGTTGTTGGCCAGATAAGCAACGGAAATTAAATGTTTTTTCGCCAGCTAATTTTAGACTTGACCAATTGAATTAATTAATAATTGAACAAAAGATGAACTGAAAGAAGAAGAGAGAAAAAGTTAGTTATATAATTTTGTTAAGAGTTGAATCGTTGAATAACAATTGTAATACATTCAGTAGTTACCTTGAACCGGGAATAGACAATTTGGATCAATAAAACTCGAATAATGCTAATAACAAAATAACAATCGGTAACATTCATCATGATGAAACAAAAGGAATAAGAAGAAAAGAGAAGAAAAAAGATGAAAAAAAAGATGATAATGATGATAGAGAAGATAAATCAATTAAATTCAATTTGACACCGTTTCATTAAGAGCATTGAACTAACCAAGAAAATTATCAGAAAAGCAATAAACTAGATTCAAGCTCTGAGTATCAACATTATTCATTCAACTGGTTCAGGTTAATTAATTGGCTGGACACAACTTTGCCTTGTAAAAAGCCTACAAAAGCCATTATAATGAACCAGATTTTGATTAGTGACTCGTTCGTTTACATTGTTGTTTTCATCAAGTAGCAAGAGGAAAACAAAATTTAATGTAAAGGGACAATTATCAACGTAATCTTGAAAGTAGTCGTTGAGATCTATTTTTAATCTTGAGGAATACTTGGGTTCTCGAATAACCATTAGTCAGAATTGTAGACTGCTGAGAAAAGATAAAAAATATATTATTAGTTTGAATCAAAACATGAAATTATTTACAGAAATGGTTTTCTCAGACATCTTTTCCATTTCTATTACCTTAAATTTTTTATGCTTAACAACAAGAAATAATAATCCTTAATATTCAGGTCTGATATTCAAGATTGATATTCAAAGAAGAGGCAGACAGAACAAAAGAAAGAAAATAAAAGCTCATGTATTAGGAATGGAGAATTTCTAAGAAAAATATATTTTCAGAATATATTGACAGAATTGAAGAAGAAGAAGAAGAAAAAGAAAAAGGAATGATTCAATATTAATGAAGAATTGATATTTTAAATATTCTGTTGGCCTAACATACGATGGTTTACATATTTGGAGGAAATAAAAAATCTGTAATCTTTTTTGAAGCAAAAACAACTTAAAGGTTCCACAACTGACCATAAAAATCATATTTAGACTTTCAAATATTTGAATAATCGAATCTGTTGACCAGTTTTCCTTCTCTTTCCTTCCTACTCTTTGAATTTCTTTAATGCCATCATTTTTCTTCTAATGATAAAGATGATAACCTCAATTCTGAGTTCAGACTTGCGGGTAACAAAATGGTCTTTGATAGTTGGTCGCGAAAACTTGATCTCGATAAAAGTTCACCTTTTTTAAACCAAATGTCTGAAAGTCTGAAACAAATAAAAGTAACTATTAGAATGTTGATAAATAATATGTTAGGTAAGAAAAGTAAAGTGAAGAAAAGGTTATTGACCAAAGAGGATATTTTTTTGGCTCAATGTTAAGCCTTTCTCTTTACAATTGATAATGGCCTCTACCTTATGAGTAGATGTAAGATCAAATGAAGGTTAACCTCACAACTTTTACCAATCACCATTATCATCATCTTTTTGGCCATTTCGAGATAAAAGGAAGATGAAATTGATGATGATAATAATCGGAAGAAGAAGAGAAGAATAAGAATGAATGATGTTGAAAGTTTTCTCTACTTTGTAGGATTGATCGCATACAATTTCTCGTCTAATGTCATATGATTTTGGAGTTGGTTTGAACTAAGGTGAAGTTGAATGGTGAAAAAAGAGAAGAAATTCTGTCCTTCGAATCAATCAGTGTCCATTGAAAGTCTTCCTGGTTCCTTTTCTTTATCCTTTTCTGTTTACCAATAAAATGCTTCAACACCTTTCTCAACCTAATATCCAACTTTGGGCTGCGAAAACACTCAATGGTTTTGCCATTTCTTTTCTTCTTTGATTCCAGTGTCACATTGATCGTCATAACTGCGGCCACAATCATCACCATCAGGTGTAATTTTGGATCATAAAATTCATTTTATCTCCAGGCTAAACTATTCTTTATTCTTTCACTGGTAATGTCCAAAAGCTAATCGAATAGTCAATTATCTTCTAGGCATTTAGAGGTTCCCTTTGACATCTTTTCATTCTTATTCTTCCTTTTTGTTCACAAAAAATGTCAATAACTTTGATCGCACAAGGAAACAATGAATTTCGATGAGAAAAAAATGACCAGGAATCATTTTGTAATCAGTTTTCCAGTAAATTTGTACCAATTTCCGGTAAGCCTTTAGGAGGTCTTATTATCTTATGCTCAACTGGCTCAGGAAACATTAAGAAAACTCATTAGTGTATCTGAGGAAGAGAGAAGAAGAATGATGAGCAAAGTGACAAAAAGTAGAGATTCTGCAACAATGGAGTGTCAACTGATACAATATTTACAGGAATATACATTTCCATCGTTAGGCGTCTCCTGTGTGAGTTTTGGTTCAAGCTTTTCAACAATTTAGAAAATTAATGTCAATCAAACTGAATTTTTTCTAGCTACCAAGAAAGATACAAAAATTGTTTTTGTACCAAATAAATTTTCCATCCTCAGATACTTGTCCAAATGAGCAAAGATGATGAAATAAGGATTGGTCATTGGCTGAAGTCATTTAAATCCATCCAAGTTAATCTATTACGCAATTAAAACACCAGACGTTTGAGTAGATAAATTTCAAGTTAAATTGACATTCATAACAGACTCATCTGCATAAGAGTGTTTAATTAACTGGCTAATATACTTTAATTGATCAATTACGATAAGACTAACATTTCAGTTACTCAATACTGAAGGTATGGATGCAATGGCAGCAAAATTTAATCTGTTAGAGTCTAAATGAATGTCAACATAGAGGCCAGTTTCATGAAAGTCATTTTGTTCATGAAGACCTATTGATTTAATGAGAGTGTACCTACGAAAAAAGGTTAAGTTGAAACAGAATTGCCAATCAAGAGATAAGATTTTCTCAGATAGATTGATTTCTCAGCAAAAAAGAAGACAAATAAGAAATTTCAATGAGCTGAGCAGCTTTTAAAATCAATACAAGTTATTGTTACTGGCTAATGATGCTTATCGGCCATATAAAAATGGAAAGATGAGAATTTTTAATAGCTCGAAACTCTGAACTGAACAAACGATTTAACCTTAGAAGATTATTGATCTAATTGATTAGGCATTGAAATTTCGAGAATTTGCATTAATCATGAAAAAGAGAATAACATTTTCTTTCAAGAAAAATGTTGGATTTGAAAATGTAAACAGACTGAAACATTTTCATTTCAAGCTTTGAAACATCATTTTGAAATGTTGAGGCTGAATGGAATTTAAAAAATTTAAAAATGAATATTAATAACCTTAGGTCCAAGGAGTATGGCAAGCACTAAGGTTACTGTAAGTTGACATCTAACAGCATAAAGAAGTAAAAGATAATCTGGGTGTATTTTACCCCACGAAATGTGCCGCAACACATAAGTTACAGTTGAAATAACAATCTCTATGTAAATCGAACAGCACAATGAGCACTTTTCCCCATAAACTTCAGGCTTTGCATTCCGTATACAGTATGTGATATAGACACCAGTTAATAAAAACGAAAATTCTCCTGTAAACAAGAAAAAAGAACAGATTTAGTTACAATTTAATAAAAAATCAAGAGGTTAATATTTAACCGTTAAATCTTCTGCAATTTCAAGTGTTTGAGAACAGCTTAAGTCTTAAGATTTAAAACTTAAGAATGCTGCCATCTAGGGTAGCTATATAAACTTACTGCGAGTTTATTTTCAGCTGTTTATTAACCGCTGATTATTTGGTTCACCATTCAACAAAACCCGGGCAATATTTTACTTTCAAAATGTGACCATTTTAGTATTCTGAACATTTTCTTGATCAACGTTTGATCGAAATGACAATTTTTTCCTACAAATGACTGTTGATTGATTCACAGTCAATTGACTAACAATTTGTATTGGTTGTTAATCAATCAACGAAACCGAATTAAGAGCAAGAAGACCAAAAAAGGAACAAATAAAAATGGATCAAAGGTAATCACATTTCACCATTGATTCAATTTAATGTGAATTATGTTTACAGTCAAACCAAATATTGTCTGTCGTATTGATTTTCATCCATTCATTTAACTCAATTGAAATCAGTACCAATCATATTATTACCAGACACACATTAGTGCAAATGTAATTTTGAAAATGTCAACCCAGAGATTGATTAACCAGTTTACCAACATCATGGATACCCAATATTTGTAACATCAAGTAAGTACAATAACCTTAACTTGACCAATATTTACCAATATCACAATTTAATTTAAATTTGACCTTAAAAGAAATGTTTTTTTCTCTATTTGCCTATTTCATCAGATCGTAAATGCAAGCTTTCAATATAAATGGCGAATATCTCTCGATTGTATGGGAATTGATGTCATTAATTTCAAAGATGGAACGCAAAGACCCAGAAGGATCGTAAATGTGTGTAAAATGTTGCTATTGTAACCTGCAAAATTGAAATGCAATTCAAAGACAAACAATTTGTTATTCTGCAGATAAGTGAACCTGAAATAGATCAAGATTCATCTTAATGAATTTGAATTTGTGTTCCAACCGATGAGCAGCAAAGAAAAGATAGTGATACGAAAAAAAAGCAAAGCAAAGCCTAACCTACTTAGCAGAAGATGAAGAAAAGGAAACATCTCATGTTGACTCATTTTCTCTGGTGAACTGGAAATCCAATGTTTGAATAACCATGTAAAAGGAGATGTTTTCATTGGAATAAGGTTTATCTTTGTCAATGTGTTTGTTTTTGTGTCTTCTTTCAGTGGTGTTAACACCGTTCAGGAAGCTTAACTGTGTACATTCAAACATACAGAAGGCAATAATATTAAAAGATGAAACTTGATTTAATCATTCTTAATTGAAATTGCCTGTTGGATTGAAGGAGAATCACCAGAAAAAAAGTACAAAACTATCAATGAAGATACAAAGTACAGTTGAGTGCAAAAAACAGTCTTTAACTTTAGCTGTTGATCTGTTTTTTTGATGATTTGTGGATCGGAAACAATGGAATCGCGTGGGCATAAAAGACAATTCAAGACAAAGTTCAATCACAAAAAAAATCCAACGAAAGTTCCACAAAAGCTCAATTTTTTTGTCAAGACAAGTTAATGATCCGAATCTTGTAAAAAAACTTTCATCAATTATCATGCAAACTCTAATTTTGTTTAACACTTCGAAAGGATTTTCAAACCTTCGCATTTTGGTTTGATTTTTGTGCTCATCCGAAATAATTGATTAAAACCTGAAATTCCCGAGTTGCAACTCCAAACAGATTTCAATCTTTCAATCTTTCAGACGACTTTTTTTGTTAAAAATAAATGCATTATTGATTCGATATTCATAATCGTTATCTACTTTTTTCCTTCTCATTTAATTATTCCAAATTTTGTGTTTAGTCGGAACCAAGAGGTTCATTTAGCATGATAAGAAGCTCAGTTTTTTTCATCTCAAAGCAAACCTAATATTGATTAACAATTAATGATCATTTTCCATTGAATTTTTTATCTCGCAATCTTGCTTTTCACATGAAGGATGAAAAAAAGAGTTTAATATGTTGATCTTCAGTTGTTTGCATCAACAAGATTCATGAATAGGGTTGAAAAGGACGCAAAAACAAAAATGTCTGATAAACATGTAAATCCAAAATGTTCATTTGGTTAATTTATGATGAAGGTAAAACTGAATCAACAATGAATTATAATTTAACTACTTTTTTATCCTTTTTTCATTTTACGCTGTTCCATGGTTATGACAGGTAATAATGAAGGATCCAACCAAAGACACAACAGGACAAAGAGTTTACTTTGATTCAAGTCAATGTCAAATGTACCATGCAGAAGGGGAAAGAAGGGTGATAAGATGAAGTTGATGAAACTAAAAACAATGAAACTGATGAAGAAACTCGACTCTAAACGTTATTGTTAAGTTTCATTTACAGTCAAGTTTCTTTTTCTCTTCGCCTTAAAATTAAATTTCATCAAGTATTAACATCTTAAGTGACGTTCCGATGACAGGTACTTCTTAAGATGTAACAAAATTACTCCCAGAACCAGGAAAAGGTTTCAAAAGCTAATGGAAGATGAAGGAAGATGAAAATACAAAAAGCATAACTTGCTTTTGTCAGTTTAACCTTTGTTAACTCAAGACATTCATTTAGCCGATTCAAAAGTGATTCTTGAAAAATTGAACCTTTTCTCGACTTTTTTAAACTCAATTTTGCTATCAATTTAATCTAATTATTTCAAGTGACAATAACAATTATCAGCTTTGATTCAAGTCGAGAAAAGATGGCAAGTTTTACGCCTTCAAAGTACTATTACAATCTAAACTGTGTCAATGCATTTACGATGGAAACTGTAAATTTGTTGTAAACATTGAATTTCTTGATTCAATCTCAGTTGTCCATAAATCACTTGCAATCTTTTCACCTCAAGTCTTGTCTGGTATTATATAAGTTATAGCTTTTGTTGATTCTGCCAGTTGCCCAGCAATCAGTTATCAACTCGGGTTAGCTCAGGTTAGCAAAATGGTTATTCATTGAACAAGTTTGACAATTTGATAAAAAATGTGAACAATTTAATTGCGATGTTATCAGAGGTGAAATGAAATCAACTCAGCTTAACTCTGAAACCAGAATTTATTGCAACTCATGTCAGATAATATTAAATGTTTCACACAAAAAGTTATTACAAAACAATTAAATGTTCATTAGGATCAAATCAACTTTAACCTGCAAAGTGATCAATATTGTTTCGTTTAAATTAATATTTTCATTAAATTCAACTTTTCACAAGCAAAATATCAATATGTCTTGTTGGTTGAAATACAGCAATATTAACTGAATGCGAGACAAAAGCAAATGTTGTTTGTACAAATGCAAAAACATGTTGTTTAGTATAACCTGAATTTATCATTACACATTTACTCTGAAAAGTGTGAATGGATGAAAAGAAGCCAAAAATAATAAGCTTTTTAGAATAAAATAAAGGTCAAGAAATGATACAAAAAGATGAAAACGGACTTGATCCATTGAAGAATCTTGTTAAAGTTTATTTTTCTAAGCATTTCCATGATTGGCTTCTATCTTTTTCATCAGTTCTTAGTTCATATCTTTATCTAGAGCTCAGCTTTTTCTAGACGTTCTTCACTTTGTAAGCCTTTGAAGGAGTGTTTTCAAACCATTGACTTTTAAACCTTTCAAAACAAAAATGAAGAAGAAAAATTAAGAACGAAAAGATGAAGAAAAGAAATAAACTCAATTCAGGACGAAAACATGCAAAGCTGTTATAAAGACAAGAATTCCTTCCCCATTTCAGTATCGAAGGTTTAAATGAAAAACAATATCATTACATCGTTATTGATGCGCTCAATATATCATTACACTTTGTTGGGTCATTACTACAGCTTTCAGGTTTAATCAGTTGCTCATTACTACCAACTATAACATTGTATCTTTCAATGTAAAGTTAAGTCGATGATTTAAAATCAACTGAACCTCAACCAACTTTGATCAAACTTCATGTCTTGAGCTTTACTCATCAAAATAACCTCAATGTATGCAATAATGCAAAATAGGAATTTAGTCAACTGCGTTCATCAAAACGACACTAACCTTTACTTAACCTAATACAGACTGAAAGCCGATCTCCGTGAAGAGTTGATGGAAACAATTGGGACGCAAGTTAATCTGACGAGATTATTTCAAGATATTATTTACGATAATTAATATGAATTAGTTGATAGAAAAATTAAGCCATTGTAAGTACAATTAATCTTACTAATAGACTCAATTGTATGGGAAAAGGAGAAGAAAGGAAAAAATTGCAGATAAAACAAAGTAAAAAGAGGTTCAATTTATCCTTCGTTAGCAACTATTATTCATCATTATTATTTCAATTGTTGAAAGAAAATAACTTTTCTCTTTGTTTCATCTTTCCTTTTAGCCTGATCGGGAACCATGTTTACCAGGAGAAGAAATTGTGAGCTCATCTAAATTCTGATCCCAACAAATCAAGAATGAAATGATGAAAAAAAGAAAAGTAAAGGAAAGGAAAGGCCGTAAAGAGGCTTATAAAGTCAAGTAAAATGAAAGAAGGAAATTCTGGTTAACCAGAATGAACGACATTCTGAAAGGAAAGTGAACAACTCTGGAAAATGTACACAAAGTCACGAAGAAATGAAATTTTCTCCCACTTCTCATGATATCATGATAATATGGAATAAGACAAAGTTTTTCAAGAATAAAATGATGAAAAATTTCTTCTCTACAAGAGAGGATAAAACTGGTGTAACTGGTTCATTCAATCGACTTTAACATGGAAAATCTTCTGAAACTCCCTGCAGTTATTATTGTCACTGGAATTATCATTATCATAACTTAAGTTATCAACATTCTTATTGAAAGAATCAAGTGTCATCCTTTCCTATCCTCAATTCAGAGTCGATTTAATCTTTACATTTCATTTTCTTGATAACAAATAAAATAATTCTGATATCATTTTCAAAATACAGAATCATATTATCTCAGGAAGAAGAGAGAAAAAAAGGTTCAATAAAACTTCACAATTTTTCATAAAGTATGAATCGAATGATAAGAAATAACTTTTTTTTCTTTTTTTCAAGAAAAATTCATTCTTATCATGATTCTGTTTTCAATCACATTTATTCTGGGTTCTGCTTTTGCTACGAGACTGAGTAAAGGTTAGCTGCTAAATTGGTCAACTTTAGCATTGTTTAAATCCAAATTGATGACGATCACAAAAGATTGAACGTTCAATTTATTGAGCTTATTCTGCAACATGAACATTCTCATGACAAATAATCTTCTCAACTGAAGACTGAAAAGAATGATGAAAAGGCCGAAGAAATGTTCTTTAAAGGAAAATGATGAACTAAAATAAATATTGTTATTGGCTGGAAAAGTTCATGTTGAATAACATATTAGTTTTGCAGGACAGAACTTCTTGAATAATCTTGTCCCCAAATGAAAAGTTTATCTTCTCGCAAGGTGTAAACTCTTCAACTAGATAAACATTATTTTCCTGCGACTTTTCCTCTCATCATTATTAGCCTCTTTATCAATATCAACCAAAAAAACGTTTCTTTCGAGTTTTCACCAGAAAATAAAATCTTGTCTGATGTAATAATATTGATGGAGCAAGATTTAGCTGTTCATCAACATTATTATCTTCATGATCTGTGATAGTTCAATCTGATAAATTAGAAGCGATAAGATCTGGTTTAAATTAATGTTAACGATGAAATCATGATAAGTTTTCCAAGAGTTATAAAGGAAATGAAACCGTCTCAAGCGAAAAACTCCCAAAATCAAATTTCACTCCCAGACTGCACTCCGAGATAATTCTTATTTTAGTTTTTTTAAGATTTTTTATTAATATTCGAAATGTTATTTTCTTATTTTCACCAAAAATTTGACTCTTTATTTCGAAATAAAGAGAAAATCAAGAACTTTCATGATTTTTTGTACTTCAATCCTTCCAATCAGTCTTCTAGAATGACTAAAATGACTTGAACGAGTTCAGTCGAGCATTCCAGAATACCTTTAATCAATTTTTTTAGTTGAAAGATTCAACTTTGAAAATTGCAAAATTCTGATTATGAAATTCTTTATTCGTTTCTTTTTTCCTTTTTCTTGCATAATGATGCAATTGTGATTTGAATGCAAAAAGATACAAAAATGAGGCAAAACATAATTTTATTGATATTAATCAACAATAGAAGTTGAATGTTTCAACATTTTTCACCCAAACTCTGTTCACTTTGAAAAGAAGAAATGATTTTGAAATTTTCGTGCTTAATTTTTTTCTCGAGTTTCTTGTTTTCACGTCAAT